AAAAAGCGATTACAACTGTTACAATCTGGTCAACCTTTATAAATAACAAAAAAATCATTAAGGGTTCTCAAGAACTAGGATTCACTTTCATCCACCTACTCACTGTTGCCAGAGAGCTGGCATACAAAAATATATAGAGACATTTAAAAAAAAATCAGAATTAGATTAGTCGGTGAGATTCGACTGAAACCGTCGCGGAGAGTCACGTTATAGATATGAGAATGGGGGAAATGGGCCGGCGCATTTACACTAAACTTTTCTGTCATGTAGCGGGCGCAAAATATCCTCTTGCGGGTCACAAATGGCTCGCTGGCCGCGAGTTTGAGAACCCGAAATTAGATTTTTATTCATTAATATTTACGATTATCTCATTTTTATAAAAAGAATGTAAATATTTATATTTTCCCACATCATTTTCGATGTAAGCAGAATGTATCCGGGAACGAATTTCAAAATATCTTAATATTTCATTTTCGGTTTCGGCTTCGGTTACGGCCGAAATTCATTTTTAACTTTCGGTCTTTTTTCGGTTTCGGCCGAAAGTCATTTTAAAGTTTCGGCCTATTTTCGGTTTCGGCCGAAATCAGATAATCACTTTCGGTCGGCCTCTAGTTCCGAGTCCATGAGAACTTTGAATGTTGGAAAGTAACAAACAGACATTTTGTTCAGAATGCACTCACATTGTTTTAGGCAACGCTGACACGCTGACACTGTCCTTGTTACTTCTTGTTAAGTACATTCAGCTCCTGTTTAATGTCAAAGTCCATGAGCCATTTGGGATCACTTAGTACAAATACAATCACCCCATTCTTCTCCATTAAGGCTTTGATATCTGCTCTCAACCCAAAAACATTTTCAAGACGTTGTCCCTACTAAGCCAACTTACCTAAGCCAACTTACCTAAGCCAACTTACCTAAGCCAACTTACCTAAGCCAACTTACCTAAGCCAACTTACCTAAGCCAACTTACCTAAGCCAACTTACCTAAGCCAACTTACCTAAGCCAACTTACCTTGGTGAAGTGCCTATGCTGACTCTATTTCCTCTAAAAAGGCGTGGAACTTCCCTGTCCTTCAAGCCTCTTGATCTGATATGGTTGCATTTCACAAGATCAGATATCACATTGTCAAACTTAAGGCATTCGCTGCAAAAGACCTGTTAATGGATAATGCAGTGTAAAGCAACTTCCTCTTTCACACCCTCCCTCTTCCAGTTATCTTTGAACGTGTGCCATGGGTCCATTTATTGTCCCCGCCATGTCGGTTGTTATTCCTGCAAAATTTTTCCACGGTAAACCTGCATCCACAATGGCATCACACAGCTGGTGGAATATCTCCTGAGCAGTGGTCTGGCCATGCATCACTTTGAGCAACTCCTCCATCACTTCAAAGTTATCTATCAACACCACGCATATCTATTGCTAGCTATACAGTGGCAGTAACGTCTGTGCTCTCATCAAGGGCGACTGAACATGCATGGACATATTTTCACTTTTCACACTTTTATTCAGTTAATAAATACCTTGAAAATAATGAGCTTCTGGTAAAGAAAGAAAAAAAAAAGAATTAAAAAAAAATAGTTCGATTCCCACTAGCCATTTAAAAACTAAATCGTGTTCAAACAGAAGGCAGGGGCAGGCAATATTTATGAATTATTGATGCGAAGGAAGATGCTATTGTAGGTAGAAGGAGTTTTGATTTTTTTTATCGTAGAAAAGACCTTTTTGACTAATCCTATTTTGAAAATGACCAAGCTGATAGCCTCGGAATTACCTTCACTCGTCACTCGTACACACTAGCGGCAATTTTAATAGGGATTCTTTGATATTGTGTCAGATTGCCATGAAAAAAAACATACAACCATGAAATGTAAATTTATAAGAGAAAAAAAAATTCCATTAAAAATCAGAACACAGGAGTGGCTTATCTTAAGTATGGGTCATCCAAATTATGAATTTAACGTGAACTTCCAGAATGGATAGCATTACATCATCGAAGACCGGTGTGGTACTAACTCATTTAGACATTTGCAAGAAATATATACGTAATCTTAGAAGGTTTATAACCAAACTCTTTTTCATACCGTATGGTTTGAATCTACTAAACACCGAGTCGCTTAATATAACGTTACGGCAAGAAGTAAGTTTACGGGTGTACTGATGAATGCTTTGAAAATATTTGATTGTCACGCTCAGGTCGCGTGATGCCGTTGTGTGTCTGATTTGGATGTTGTGAGAGTGAGCGATACTTTTTTTTTTTCTTCTTTTCTTACTTCCCTTATATCCAACGCATTGCACTCAGCCATGCATGACCTATGACCTATGACCTATGACCTATTACATATGTCGTATGACGTATGACAGTGGCAGTGTGCTAAAAACAGACCACGTGAGGAAGAGACGTGACAATCACCAGTGGCTGTCACCATTGTTGTGAGTTTTCGACTCTGAAATATTTATGTGACCATAACTTAGGGGACCAAACCCGTAGACATCGTTCTTTGCGTCATATTGATTTGAAAGTTAGCCACGATTAAGTACTCCCCGGGCCCAGACAACGCCCCCCAAACCACGCCCCTAGTTCTGGAACTAAGCACGAAAAAAAACACATCATTTGTTTTGACTCGAAGTAGTGGGTTAAGAAGCTGATTGCATAATAAGAAATAAAATAGATTAAAACAGTCGTAAAGAGAGGCTGACCAAGCACGTTCATTTTAAATGTACTTCTTTTACGAGATCATGTGCTCAAAATATTTGAAGTAGAAGTCAGAGAGGACCGACTTGTTACAACAGATTGTAATCTAGCATTTCATGACAGAGTTACACAAGAGATGTAGCGGATCTTCCTTACACTATAAAGTTGTCTCGACCGTGTAGATGCCAAATAAATAATTTGCCATGTAAAAGAAAGGACATAGAATTGTGATGACAAAATGTCGCGAAGTAAATGGTCGATGGCAGTTTCGCCAACGGTCATTTCGCCAACGGTCATTTCGCCGACGGTCATTTCGCCAACGGTCATTTCGCCAACGGTCATTTCGCCAACGGTCATTTCGCCAACGGTCATTTCGCCAACGGTCATTTCGCCGACAATGGAACACCGCTAAAACGTGATAATTGGTTGAAGAAAAATCGGACCACGTTTTATTTCACTATTGTTTGGGAGACTTTTGACCAGGTCAAGAGGAGAGGGCCCTTGAACGGCAAAAACAAACCAAAAAAAATAAAATTCTTAAAATTTACACCCCCCCCCCCGGCCATAAATCCACCCAAGAGCAAACCTACGAACAATCTTTGAACTTTGTCGGGATCCCAATCGGGGAACGAAAGGTTCACTCAAGTTATTTGTAGGAGATACAAGTTTTTTTTGTTGTTGTTTTTTTTTTTTGTTTTTTTGCTGTTGCTATAAAGGTGTTTTTTAAAATTTTCTTACATGACACATAATTTCAATGTTAATTAAAAGGCTAAAGACGTTTTTGTTTTTCCGAATGCACCACGGACAAAGCCGGGTCTACTGGCTAGTATAGAATAATATGTTTACTACACTGTTAAATAGTATGCTGAAAGTTGAAGTGGATTAAACGATGGCAAACTGTGAAAGTAGCGCAGCTTTCTATGAGGTCAAGTAGCGCAGCTTTCTATGAGGTCAAGTAGCGCAGCTTTCTATGAGGTCAAGTAGCGCAGCTTTCTATGAGGTCAAGTAGCGCAGCTTTCTATGAGGTCAAGTAGCGCAGCTTTCTATGAGGTCAAGTAGCGCAGCTTTCTATGAGGTCAAGTAGCGCAGCTTTCTATGAGGTCAAGTAGCGCAGCTTTCTATGAGGTCAAGTAGCGCANCCCCCCCCCCCCCACCCCCCTTTCCTCGCGTATCCTATCACTGCTAAATCGTGATATCTACAACTGCGCAGCAACATGCATGGCAGGACAATAACGAGATAAAATTTGTTTTCAAGTCTTTTTTTTTCTTTTAAATGGTCAAGATGAAAATGTGAATCCTTCAAATCCACGCGAGATTTGACATCTGCTGTTTCCCACAAAATAAAATAAAGACTGCAGGGTAAAGGAGCGTACCATCTTGATATTGTGCCCATGTCTTACATCTTGGAGTTTTACGTGCACCGATCTTAACCAAGATGTCAACTCTTACAGCCTTGTGCTTTGGAGTTCTACTTTCAGCCTTGGGTATTTTATTAAATTTTTATGCTCAATATTTGTAATACATTGCTCGTTAGCCAACCATGAAAGTTTTGTAATGATCATTGTACTACAATGGCCATAAATCATTTTGCTTGGGAAAATCGGCTGTAATCTATTACAATAAACTTTTTCTATGCATTAATTCATCCAAGAATTCAAATCAAGCAATACAAATGATTATATTTTGGCCGTTGGATTCACTGAGTTCAATAGTTTCCTATCTGCTGTCATTATCCTAAAGCAGGAATTGACGAGGGGAAGACCTCTATAGGATTCTGGTCATCTCAAGTGGAAGGACCATTAACGTGTGCTTCTTCTATAAAATTGTGCTGCAACACAAAAAAAAAACAGTTAATGACCTGTGCTCTTGAAATTATAAAATGTATGTTGGTCTCCTGTAGACTTGCTTCACTTTGCTCGAAGTTTTAAAGATTACATTTCGTAAGAATTTTTGTATCACTAAAATCGAGAGTGAGTTAATAAAAAAAAAAAAAAAAAAATTCCACTAGTTCAGTTAATTTAAAAAAATACTGCGTTGAAATATTTTCAGTTTTCTCTCATATTATAAAATTTACTTTGGTCTCCTTTAGACTTGCTTCACTTTGCTCGAACTTTTAAAGATTACATTTCGTAAAAATATTTGTAACACTAAAATCGAGAGTGAGTTAATAAAAAAAAAAAAAAAAAAATTCCACTAGTTCAGTTAATTTAAAAAAATACTGCGTTGAAATATTTTCAGTTTTCTCTCATACGATTAATGACTGCCCAGCCAGTGTACCGAGGGACACCTACCTCCAGGTGTTCCAAGACTCTTGTTTCCAGTTCGTCATCAACCGTGAACGCAAGCATTCCGTGGCCAAGGTGGACTGCGAACACCACGGTGGAACACTGGCCATAGTCAGCACGCCAGCGATTCAGGGCTTCATTTATCACCAGCTGTCCAGCACGTACAAGGACGTCAGAGACAAGCTTTGGATCGGACTCAACGACATCGACAACGAAAATATTTACAAATGGGAGGATGGGTCTGCCTTGAACTACACAAACTGGGACAGCGGGGATGGCCCCAACGCTGACTCCCACCACCATGCGCACAACCACAACGATGATGACTGCACGGTCATAGACATGGAGAGTGGGGGGAGGTGGGCGGAGTTCCCCTGCGAAGAAACCCCTTTTTTCCTCTTCTTCACCGAGGATGAAGAGCACTCCTACATCTGTCAGTACAAACTGTCTCCCACCGCGACGGCGATGCCATTAACATCACCACCACCAACATCGGCTTCCACTGAGGCACAAACCGACTCGACAATACGACCCATGACAGAAACGGGCGCCAAAGAATTGTCCGTAGAAACAGACACCACCGTTACCTCCATAACAAACCCTTGCCCCCCTTTTACGTGTGATTTAGACTGTGGCTTGGACGGTTTCCGGAAGAATGCCACTTCCCGTTGTCACATGTGTGAATGCAATTTGTGAGACCGGACTGAATTCATGTTAAGACTTTAAAAATTTATACTCAATATATTTTTCGTACCAATCAAAGTTCAAACTCTTTTTTGTGTGTTTTGTTGCTTTATTACAATGGTTGCTTTTTATTTTTTTCATAAGGCTTAATGCAGTGAAGGATGAGACCACAAAGTTAAACCAAAAACAAGTCATTCAAATAGACAGGAAAAAGTAATAAGATCAAACTCTAGTGTCCAACTCGATGACTGTTAAGGAAAACAGCCAAAATATTAACATCCCTCAAAAAGTTTTACACGCTATTTGGACATTGGACTTGAGCAGAATGCACCACTTCTTTGACAGTTAACTAGTAACTATAAGTTTTGTTTCTACTTTAAAGACGTGTTAGTTGTTCTACTTGTTGTTAGTTCTACTTGTTGTTACTTCTACTTGTTGTTAGTTCTACTTATTGTTAGTTCTACTTGTTGTTAGTTCTACTTGTTGTTAGTTCTACTTGTTGTTAGTTCTATTTGTTGTTAGTTCTACTTGTTGTTAGTTATACTTGTTGTTAGTTCTACTTGTGGTTAGTTCTACTTGTTGTTAGTTCTACTTGTTGTTAGTTCTACTTGTTGTTAGTTATACTTGTTTTTAGTTTTGTGCTTAGTTCTACTTGCAGTTAGTTCTACTTGTTGTTAGTCCTACTTGTCGCTAGTTCTACTTGTTGTTAGTTCTACTTGTTGTTAGTTCTACTTGCAGTTAGTTCTACTTGTTGTTAGTCCTACTTGTTGTTAGTTCTACTTGTTGTTAGTTCTAATTGTGCTTAGTTCTACTTGCAGTTAGTGCTACTTGTTGTTACTCCTATTTGTCGCTAGTTCTACTTGTTGTTAGTTCTACTTGTTATTAGTTCTACTTGTTGTTAGTTCTACTTGTTGTTAGTCCTACTTGTTGTTAGTTCTACTTGTTTTTAGATCTACTTGTTGTTAGTTCTATTTGAAGTTAGTTCTACTGGCAGTTAGTTCTACTTGCAGTTAGTTCTAGTTGTAGTTAGTGCTACTTGTTGTTAGTCCTACTTGTCACTTGTTCTACTTGTTGTTAGTTCTACTTGTTGCTAGTTCTACTTGTTGTTAGTTCTACATGTTGTTAGTTCCACTTGTGGTTAGTTCTACTTGCAGTTAGTTCTACTTGTTTTTAGTAATACTTGTTAATAGTTCTACTTGTTGTTAGTTCTAATTGTAGTTAGTTCTACTTATTGTTAGTTCTACTTGTTGTTAGTTCTACTTGTAGTTAGATCTACTTGTTGTTAGATCTACGTGTGGTTAGATCTACTTGTCGTTAGTTCTACTTGTAGTTAGATATACTTGTTGTTAGTTCTACTTGTTGTTAGAACTACTTGTTGTTAATTCTACTTGTTGTTAGTTCTACTTGTTGTTAGTTCTACTTGTTGTTAGTCCTACTTGTTGTTAGTTCTACTTGTTTTAGATCTATTTGTTGTTAGTTTTACTTGCAGTTAGTTCTACTTATGGTTACTTTTACTTGTTGTTAGTTCTACTTGTTGTTAGTTCTACTGGCAGTTAGTTCTACTTGTAGTTAGTTCTACTTGCAGTTAGTTCTACTTGTTGTTAGTCCTACTTGTTTTTAGATCTATTTGTTTTTAGTTCTACTTGCAGTTAGTTCTACTTGTGGTTAGTTTTACTTGTTGTTAGTTCTACTTGTTGTTAGTTCTACTGGAAGTTAGTTCTATTTGTTGTTAGTCATACATGTTGTTAGTTCTACCTACAGTTAGTTCTTTTTGTAGTTAGTTCTACTTGTTGTTAGTTCTACTTGTTGTAAGTTCTACTTGCTGTTAGTTCTTCTGGCAGTTAGTTCTATTTGCAGTTAGTTCTACTTGCATTTAGTTCTACTTGCAGTTAGTTCTACTTGTTGTTAGTCATACTTGTTAATAGTTCTACTTGTTGTTAGTTCTACTTGTAGTTAGTTCTACTTGTTGTTAGTTCTCCTTTTTGTAAGTTCTACTTGTTGTTACTTCTACTTATTGTTAATTCTACTTGTTTTAGATTTATTTGTTGTTAGTTCTACTTGCAGTTAGTTCTACTTGTGGTTACATTTTACTTGTTGTGAGTTCTACTTGTTGTTAGTTCTACTGGCAGTTAGTTCTACTTGTAGTTAGTTCTACTTGCAGTTAGTTCTACTTACAGTTAGTTCTACTTGTGGTTAGTTTTACTTGTAGTTAGTTATCCTTTTTGTTAGTTCTACTTGTGTTTAGTTCTACTTGTTTTTAGTTCTACTTGTTGTTAGTTCTACTTGTTGTTAGTTATAATTGTTTTTAGTTTTGTGCTTAGTTCTACTTGCAGTTAGTTCTACTTGTTGTTAGTCCTACTTGTCGCTAGTTCTACTTGTTGTTAGTTCTACTTGTTGTTAGTTCTACTTGTTGTTAGCTCTACTTGTTGTTAGTAGTACTTGTTGTTAGTTCTACTTTTTGTTAGTTCTAATTGTGCTTAGTTCTACTCGCAGTTAGTGCTACTTGTTGTTACTCCTATTTGTCGCTAGTTCTACTTGTTGTTAGTTCTACTTGTTGTTAGTTCTACTTGTTGTTAGTTCTACTTGTTGTTAGTCCTACTTGTTGTTAGTTCTACTTGTTTTTATATCTACTTGTTGTTAGTTCTATTTGAAGTTATATCTACTGGCAGTTAGTTCTACTTGCAGTTAGTTCTACTTGTAGTTAGTGCTACTTGTTAGTCCTACTTGTCACTTGTTCTACTTGTTGTTAGTTATACTTGTTGTTAGTTCTACTTGTTGTTAGTTCTACTTGTTGCTAGTTCTACTTGTTGTTAGTTCTACATGTTGTTAGTTCTACTTGTGGTTAGTTCTACTTGCAGTTAGTTCTACTTGTTTTAGTCATACTTGTTAATAGTTCTACTTGTTGTTAGTTCTACTTGTAGTTAGTTCTACTTGTTGTTAGTTCTACTTGTTGTAACTTCTACTTGTTGTTAGTTCTACTTATTGTTAGTTCTACTTGTTGTTAGTTCTACTTGTAGTTAGATCTAATTGTTGTTAGTTCTACGTGTGGTTAGATCTACTTGTCGTTAGTTCTACTTGTAGTTAGATATACTTGTTGTTAGTTCTACTTGTTGTTAGGTCTACTTGTTGTTAATTCTACTTGTTGTTAGTTCTACTTGTTGTTAGTTCTACTTGTTGTTAGTCCTACTTGTTGTTAGTTCTACTTGTTTTAGATCTATTTGTTGTTAGTTCTACTTGCAGTTAGTTCTACTTGTGGTTACTTTTACTTGTTGTTAGTTCTACTTGTTGTTAGTTCTACTGGCAGTTAGTTCTACTTGTAGTTAGTTCTTCTTGCAGTTAGTTCTACTTGTTGTTAGTCCTACTTTTTTTAGATCTATTTGTTGTTAGTTCTACTTGCAGTTATTTCTACTTGTGGTTAGTTTTACTTGTTGTTAGTTCTACTTGTTGTTAGTTCTACTGGAAGTTAGTTCTATTTGTTGTTAGTCATACATGTTGTTAGTTCTACCTACAGTTACTTCTTTTTGTAGTTAGTTCTACTTGTTGCTAGTTCTACTTGTTGTAACTTCTACTTGCTGTTAGTTCTTCAGGCAGTTAGTTCTATTTGCAGTTAGTTCTTCAGGCAGTTAGTTCTATTTGCAGTTAGTTATACTTGCATTTAGTTATACTTGCAGTTAGTTCTACTGGCAGTTAGTTCTATTTGTTATTAATTCTACTTGCAGTTAGTTCTACTTGCAGTTAGTTCTACTTGCAGTTAGTTCTACTTGCAGTTAGTTCTACCTTCAGTTAGTTCTACCTACAGTTAGTTCTACTGGAAGTTAGATCTACTTGCTGTTAGTTCTACTTGCAGCTAGTTCTACTTGCAGTTAGTTCTACTTGCAGTTAGTTCTACTTACAGATAGTTCTACTTGCAGTTAGTTCTAGTTGCTGTTAGTTCTACTTGCAGTTAGTTCTACTTGCAGTTAGTTTTACTGGCAGTTCTACTTGTGGTTAGTTCACGGGGCAGTAAGTTCTACTGGCAGTTAGTTCTACTCGTAGTTAGTTCTACTTGTTGTTAGTTCTACTTGTTGTAAGTTCTATTTGCTGTTAGTTCTTCTGGCAGTTAGTTCTATTTGCAGTTAGTTCTACTTGCATTTAGTTATACTTGCAGTTAGTTCTACTGGCAGTTAGTTCTATTTGTTATTAGTTCTACTTGCAGTTTGTTCTACTTACAGTTAGTTCTACTTGCAGTTAGTTCTACCGACAGTTAGTTCTACCTACCGTTTGTTCTACTGGCAGTTTGTTCTACTTGCTGTTAGTTCTACTTGCAGCTAGTTCTACTTGCAGTTAGTTCTACTTGCTGTTAGTTCTACTTGCAGTTAGTTCTACTTGCAGTTAGTTCTACTTGAAGTTAGTTCTACTTGCAGTTCGTTTTACTTGTTGTTAGTCATTTATGTTGTTAGTTCTACCTACAGTTACTTCTACTTGTAGTTAGTTCTACTTGTTGTCAGTTCTACTTGTTGTAAGTTCTACTTGCTGTTAGTTCTTCGGGCAGTTAGTTCTATTTGCAGTTAGTTCTACTTGCAGTTAGTTCTACTTGCTTTTAGTTCTACTGGCAGTTAGTTTTACTTGCATTTAGTTATACTTGCAGTTAGTTCTACTGGCAGTTAGTTCTACTTGTTAGTTCTACTTGCAGTTAGTTCTACTTACATTTAATTCTACTTGCAGTTAGTTCTATTTGCAGTTAGTTCTACCTACAGTTAGTTCTACCTACAGTTAGTTCTACTGGCCGTTAGTACTTGCTGTTAGTTCTACTTGCAGCTAGTTCTACTTGCAGTTAGTTCTACTTGCAGTTAGTTCTACTTGCAGTTAGTTCTACTTGCAGTTAGTTCTACTTGCAGTTAGTTCTACTTGCTGTTACTTCTACTTGCAGTTAGTTCTACTTGCAGTTAGTTTTTCTGGCAGTTCTACTTGTGGTTAGTTCACGGGGCAGTTAGTTCTACTGGCAGTTAGTTCTACTTGCTGTTAGTTCTACTTGCAGTTAATTATACTTGCAGTTAGTTCTACTTGCTGTTAGTTCTACTTGCTGTTAGTTCTACTTGCAGTTATTTTTACTTGCAATTCTACTTGTGGTTAGTTCACGGGGCAGTTCGTTCTACTGGCAGTTAGTTCTACTTGCTGTTAGTTCTATTTGAATTTAGTTCTACTTGCAGTTAGTTCTTCTTGCTGTTAGTTCTACTTGCTGTTAGTTCTACTTGCAGTTAGTTCTACTTGCAGTTAGTTCTACTTGTAGTTAGTTCTACTTGCAGTTAGTTATAATGGCAGTGCTACTTGTGGTTAGTTCACGGGGCAGTTAGTTCTACTGGCAGTTAGTTCTACTTACATTTAATTCTACTTGCAGTTAGTTCTACTTGCTGTTAGTTCTACTTGCAGTTATTTCTACTTGCAGTTAGTTCTACTTGCTGTTAGTTCTACTTGCTGTTAGTTCTACTTGCAGTTAGTTTTACTTGCAGTTAGTTCTACTTGCAGTTAGTTCTACTTGCAGTTAGTTCTACTTGCAGTTAGTTCTACTTGCTGTTAGTTCTACTTGCTGTTAGTTCTACTTGCAGTTAGTTCTACTTGCAGTTAGTTCTACTTGCTGTTAGTTCTACTTGCTGTTAGTTCTACTTGCTGTTAGTTCTACTTGCTGTTAGTTCTACTTGCAGTTAGTTCTACTTGCTGTTAATTCTACTTGCAGTTAGTTTTACTTGCAGTTAGTTTTACTGGCAGTGCTACTTGTGGTTAGTTCAAGGGGCAGTTAGTTCTACTGGCAGTTAGTTCTACTTGCAGTTAGTTTTACTGGCAGTGCTACTTGTGGTTAGTTCAAGGGGCAGTTAGTTCTACTGGCAGTTAGTTCTACTTGCTGTTAGTTCTACTTGCAGTTAGTTCTACTTGCAGTTAGTTCTACTTGCAGTTAGTTTTACTGGCAGTGCTACTTGTGGTTAGTTCAAGGGGCAGTTAGTTCTACTGGCAGTTAGTTCTACTTGCAGTTAGTTTTACTGGCAGTGCTACTTGTGGTTAGTTCACGGGGCAGTTAGCTCTACTGGCAGTTAGTTCTACTTGCTGTTAGTTTTACTGGCAGTGCTACTTGTGGTTAGTTCACAGGGGCAGTTAGTTCAATATGCATTAAGTTATGATTTTGTTTAGTTTCATTGGCAGGTAGTCTGTATGAAGGGATGAAGTGTGTTCATTTTGGAATGTGTTCCGTTTAAAGAGAGTTATTTCTGAAAGTCAGATTTGTTAGAACTTGAGCTTAGTCGTTTGAGAACTTAAAAAAAAAAATTTTTTTAAAAAGAAAGAAATATGGGGAAATAAAATAAATTGAAATTATTTTGTTCTCCTCCGTGCCCCTCGGCCCCAAATCCTCCAAAACTGTATTGTGACCTAACTTATCTCGGACTGTCCAGAAATCAGTTTGATGCTTTGAAATGCGTTACATTTGTGTCGCTAATTGACAATACTTGAATATGTTCACAAGACTCGGATACCAAACGTTGATTTTTACATTAGTATTTCATTGTTGAACTGATATCAAACATTGAAAGTGAGAAACTCTGGCTAGAATTTCTGTCACGTGATGCTGGTGCGTGCGCAGGTTAAAGCAGATCTCGTTAGGTCTCACGGGACTTCTGGCAACTGTTGTTTCCCTATGCAAGAAAAAAAACACAGCAATGAAATACATTTTTTAAAATAAAATCCTTTAGCAAACAGAACACGAGAGTTCTTATCTTAAGTGTGTGCCATCCAAATTACGCGTGGAACGTAAACTTCCAGAATGGATCAACTTACAGCATTGTTAACCTGTGTGCTACTAACACATTTAGGTATTTGAACGAATTCTATACTTACTTTTTAAAAAGTTTATAGCCACAAACGTTCTCATATACTGTATGGTCGAAATTTACTAAACATAGAGGCACTTAATATAACGAGACATAAAGAATTTTACTTTTGTGCTGATCAATACTTAGGATATAATTGATTTTCAGGTGACCCGGCCCCCAAAAACTACGCCTTAGTTCTGCAACTTAGCACAAAAACAAATCATTTATTTTGACTCGAATTAGTGGGTTGATAAGCTGATTGTATGATAAGAAATAAAATAGATTAATAAAACAGTCGTAAAGAGAGGCTCACCAGACACTTTCATTTAAATGTACTTCTTTTACGAGATCATGTGCTCAAAATATTTGAAGGGAAGTCAGCGAAGAACGACTTGTAACAACAGATTGTCATCTAGCATTTTAGACAGAGTTACGTAAGAAATGTAGCGTCACTTGGAAAGATTCTAAAATTGTCTAAAAAAGGAAAAGAAAATATGCATCATTAATTTTTATGATATGTTTGTAAACGTATCTCCAGTGACTGGCCAAACCTTCATCGACTGCCCTGACAGTGTACCCAAGGACCACTTCCTCCTGGTGCACGGTGACTCTTGTTTCCAGTTCCTTCTCAGCCGTCTTCGCACGCACTCCGTCGCCAGGTCTGACTGTGAAAGCCGCGGCGGGACCCTGGCCATGGTTAAGTCTGCAGACATTCAATCATTCCTCTATCGGGAGCTTAACACCACGTTCAGATCTTTCACTGGCAAATTCTGGATCGGCCTAAATGACATCGACAAGGAAGATGTGTTTAAGTGGGAGGATGGTTCGGCCTTGAACTTCACAAACTGGAACACCGGACAAGGTCCAAACTCGGGCTCATGGAGCCACTTGGTGAGCCACAATGAGAACGACTGTGTGGTACTGAATATGGAGTACGGCGGTAAGTGGTCGGAATATCCTTGCGAGTCCTCGATGCTTTTGTCAAACCCACAAGTTGCAGAACATCCGTTCATTTGTCAATACAAGCTACCGCCACGCGTTATGTCAACGGTGCCCACATCGCCCACCACAGAGGCCCTGCTGACCGACACATCGGTGGATACAGGACCAGGATCCACGGATTTATCAGAAGGACTTAAGACTACGGTGTCGTCTTTATCACCAGCACCGGAAATCACGAAGTCTTCTACATAAGCATCACGAGATGACACGATGCCTCCTGTTTCAAAACTTTGCCCTCTGTTTCCAAACCTTTCCACGTGTTTCCAAAAATTTCCCTCTGTTTCCAAACCTTTTATCCTATTTGCAAACTTTGCGTCCTCTTTCCAAATCATGCCACATGTTTCCAAAACTTTTCACCTGTTTCCAAACCTTTCTCTCTGTTTCCAAACCTTTCTCTCTGTTTCCAAACATTGCCTCTTGTTTGCAAACCTTTAAACAATTAGCTTGAACTTTGTGGCGAATGCGATAAGGTTATAATAAAATACTACCAGCTACTGTACTGTGTTTGAATGGATTTACATTTGACAATTAAACGATAGGATTCTTTTACTAATTAATTGAACTTAGTTTCTTTTATGAGTTGATTTTTGTTGTTGTTTATTTATATACACTAAAGAAAATTTGCAGGGGAAAAATTAAGAAACGCGAGACGGGAGGGCATACAATTATAAAAAAAGATTACAAGAAACAAATATTCTATACCAGTGATCCCCAAATGGCGGTCCATTGACCTTCACCGGTCCGCATGCCTAACGCTGCCAGTCCCCATAACATAAATATTTATTGTCAAATAGAAATAAAAGTATACAAATAAATTATGCACCGGTCCCTTGTAAAATTTCGAAACTTGTTCGCCGGTCCGCCAAACGTAAAAGTTTGGGAACCACTGTTCTATACTACTGATTCCCCCCCCCCCCCAACTCACCAGAAAACAAGACCCCATTTTGAGACCACGTTAACACACACTACAACACTAAAACCCCTGTGTTCATTGCTCGATACATTTCAATATTCAGAATTAAAGCGTTTTTATTGTTGTTTTTTTTAAATCGCGCTCAATTCTGTGGCAACAGTAGATCTTTGCTTTGGCATTATGGTGTTGTTGTGTTTTTGAAACATTTATTTAAAGCGTAAAATGGTTAGATTGGAACTAATATCCGTGTTTTTATTTATGAAATATAATCTTTAAAGAAGATTTTCTAGTTTACTAGTGCAAAAAAAAAAAAAAGACACCCTTTGTTTGGTTATTAATTTCACGAACGTATTATCTCATTGTATCACAAGGCATCATATCACTGTTCACATGGCATCACCTCACCGTATCATATGGCATAACATCACCGTATCACAGGACATCATCGCACTATTTCACAGGGCATCGTCTCACTTTATCACAGGGCATCATATCACCGTATCCTATGGCATCACATCACAGTATATCAAAGGGCATCAGCTCACTGTATCAAACTGCATCACCTCCCTGTATCACACTGCATCACCTCACTGTATCATGCTACATAATCTCAGACTATCTCAGGGCATCATCTCACTGTATCACCTCTTTCCTGTCGATAAGTCAGTGAAATTTTCTAAAAAATGTTGCCTGATCCCCATACATGTTCTTACATAAAAGATTTTACATAAAAAGATGGAGTCCCGTAAGGCGTATACCATGAATCAATCCGACAACTCCTGCATCCCCACCCAACCCTGGTCGTCTTGACATAGTCTTGCCACTGGACATGGTGGGCCCCGGACGAGAGAGTGAGATTGACGCTGCGCAACTCTTCCCCACTTTCAACAAAAGTCACCCATCGCAAGTCATCAGTCATCCAACACCAGACGACTCGATGGTCCCAGTCGATCTTCGACGGACGAACAACATCCATCAGGGTGATCCAAACTCCAAAGCCATTCTTACGAAAAATTCTACTTCAGAATTGGAAATCTGCATCGTACTATATTTTTAATTCCCTCTAAAATTGTAGCAAAGCACGGGTAGTCAGCTATCTAGTAATTATTTAAGGGGATAAGAGTCACATCAAAAGAGTTGGAAAACCTAGATTTAAAGGAATGTTTAAGTTGAGAAAATGACGGATGTTACAGTTGTTTTGATATTTAATTTTTTTTTTTAAACACAACTTCTAATTTTTTTAAAATTTGTTCCAAATTTATCGACATGTTAAATTAATAATGACTTTAATCTATTAGATTTAGGTTTATCCACCTAGTTATGTTTTTAAAAATAGGTGGGATTTTTTGCCTACCAGCAAAAGGGATTACTAATCATTCGATATTATTGGTAAAATAAATTTAGTTATTAATTTCCTTCCTTTTTAAAATTAAAGAATACTTTCCCTTTATTCAACAACATAAATTTATTAATATAGCAAACTATGGAAGACAGTTACAACACAACTTTTTCCACACGAAGGATCTCTGTGAGATTTTTTGTAAAAGCAACTTTTTACACCGTCTATTTTTTATCAGTGTTTTTCATTAATGACGCCGCAACCTTCACATTGAGTGTATTTTAAACAAACCCATAAAACAAAGTTTTCAGTGTAAAGAGTTTATCTGCATTGTTGTTCGACTTAGCGATGGACACAGTTCTTAAGAAATCATCGCATCATACTTCCTTCATCCCTTTGAAAAACAAAGAAAAAAAATGAGTTTTGGAAGTTGAGGGCGGGGGACGGGCGGGGGGGGGGGGGGGGGGGGGGGGGGGGGGGGGGGGGGGGTAGGGCTGAACAAAACAATTAAGGCATAAGAATCCCAATTAGTGCCCCCCCCCTTTTTCCATGACAGCTCGAAACATCACATTGGTTTTCAAGCCCATGAACTATATTAATATTCCAATATTTATTTATTTAGGCATTTTTATATAGCGCATACCTTAAAGCTCTAAGCACTTTACAATTATTAAAAACATGTAAACTAAGTAAAATAAAAATGAGACACTAGGATAGTAACTACTATACTATAGAAACAATGAAAATGGCTACAAAACGAGGACATTTTGGCACGATTTGGCCTATACTACAGGATCAACCCGGGACAGAAGATGAGGCAGGGCAAGGAGGGTGCATCACAGGTCATAGGCGGACCTAAACAGATGGGATTTAAGGGACTTTTTAAAAATGGACGAGGTTTCACAGTGACGTATATGGAAGGGGAGCTGGTTCCAGAACGTGGGCCCATGGAAGTAGAAGGAGCGTTCACCGATGGTCTTAGTTTTGGTTCTTGGGATTGAGAGGGTTCTATTCCAATGCCCCACCCGCTTTTACACCGCAGATTTATTACACCAACTATTTGAAAAAAAAAAAATAATAATAAGAAAATAATTATTAAAAAAAAACCTTACGCACCAAACGCATTTGTGCTATTTTTACGGATCTCATACAGCGCAGTTATCGGGAGTTTGATTCCATGAAAATCATTGTCATCATATATCCTTCTTCTTCTTCTATATATTAAGGGCCCCACGATCAATTTATTGATCATTTTGACTCCTATGCATGTAGAGGGGATTTGCAATGTTTCTATGCCCGGTGTTGATGAGGACATTTCACTGATTTCCAGTGCCACTTTGTGAGGGAATCATGCACTGGGGGTTTGAAGGCTTGAGGCAATAGACGCAAATGAGTTTAGTGCTGTCGCCTCAACTGTTCCCTTTGAAAGCTTGTTCCAGTCCCTGATTGTCTTGGGCAGGAATGAGCGGCTCCTATACTGCCTTCTTGCTGGTATGAGCCTGAATTGCCTGTCATGGCCTCGTCGCTGTCTATGGGGGAGAGGGACGAGTTTCTGTTTAATTATGGAACAGTGGACCAGCCCATTATTTATCTTGTACATCATGGAGAGCCTGGATTGTCGTCGTCGTTTCTCTAATGGTGACCAGCCTAGTGTTTCTAGCATGCCGCCAACACTAGAGGTATTCCTAAAGCGGTTCTGGACAAAGCATGCTGCCCTTCACTGGACCTCCTCCAACCTGTCAATGCTCTTCTGGGTAAATGTGTCCCAGACTGAAGATGCACAATCTAAAACCGGACGGACAAAGGCTATTTATAGGCTCTTTCTTTCACACAGGACTTGCCAATCCTTAATCTTCCTTTGAAAAAAAAACCCCAAAACAGATCATTTTTTTTTTTGGGGGGGGTTAGGGTTAGAGGGTTGGGCTTAAAATTGATAGAATGTCTGCCATCGATAAAAAGTATAATCAGTGGTGTATAGGGGGGGGGGCGGCGGACTGCACCAGGTAGCACCATCTCAGGGGGTGACATCAAATTGAACAATTTCATATATACAGAGCACATTATTGATCGGTCTAACCGAATTTCATAAAACCGATCACGTGCACATTTTCCTCACATATAACAAATCCTAATGTTTGCTTGATACAGTTCATATTGATGCTTAATTAATCAGGTAGACCTATAATCAGGCAAGAAAAACGCAACGTGTCGACCTCCATTCAACGCCGATTAAACTGTTCGGTAACTTTCCATAAGTGAAACTCTTTTCCCGAAAATCGTTCATGCATTACATTGTTCGTTACTCTTGAAAGAATATTCTCCTTCTTTGCTGCATCCGCTCATTGATGAGCTGTTTAAATTTAATACACTGGAATGTCGGCGAAAAAGGCTGTCTACACCACGCTGGCGGGCTCATCATGCTGCTGTTAAAACAGTGAAGGATAAGTGTGATGAACGTGTGGCGGCGACGGAACCTCGATGTGATGCTCTTGAAAATTTGGACAACGAGGTACAGCACAAGGTCATTTTTCACTGCTGTCTTTGATTTCACGTTTATCTGCCACCTTTACCTTTGGGCTGATCTACCTTAGGAAGTTAATCTTACATTCCAGTATCTAAAGGCTTTACTCTTGACAGATTTGGGACCAACCTAGAAGGCCTTAAGATTTTTTCAGCACGAAAAGCGCTGTCACTTGTGGAACATGCTAATTGAAAAGGCCATTTTTAAATCAGACCAATGTTGAATTTTGGTAGAACGAAGATAAAAGGTTTAAGCAGAGAATTGCAGGAGAACAATTAATAGATGCTGGACTCTGTGAATAGAAAACAGTAGGGAGATGCTGGAGTGTATAAATCGCTTTCATTCTGAATTCGACATCAGATAATCAGCGATCAAGGAAGTAGTTTGGGGTTGCTCGACCCAAGAGTCTACTATTAGCAAGTGAAGAAGAGTTATTGGTGTCAGTTCGAAAATTAAACTCTTTTATAATGAGATATCAGAAGATGAACTTTTAAAAGAAACACCAAGGCTTAGAACACACCTAAAAGCAGCTGATATTGAAATTAACAAAAATGTTATGGACTGGCCAGTATTTGATGATTTGAAATTCATAGCTGAATGGGACTTCCTAGAATCTCTTCCACTATTCTCGCTAAGCCTTCGACTGTTCCTTATAATCTGTGTGTCTGTGGCTTCATATGAGGGGAGCTTTTCAAAACTAATCATTAAGAACTATTTAATGTCCACCATGGAACAGTCAAGGCTTTCTGATCTTGCTCTAATATAATTAAAATTGATATTGATTTTGATCAAGTGATCGACTTATTTGCAGCTTTGAAGACCAGGAAAATTTTAAATAAATTGAATATAATGTAAAAATAACTATAGCTTAACGTTGTTACAGCTTTTAAATATATTTAACAAGAAGAAATCCGTAGTGGAAGTTGGGGGGTGGGGGGTATATGACACCACGAGTTTAATGCACGGATGACACCAACCCTATATAGCTATGCATCCGAGTCTATGTGCCAAGTTTGAGCTCGATAGTTTGATGGGAAGTGAGCCAATTAGCCGTCCAAAGATTTCCCAAACACACGAACCAAAGCTACGTTCTATTAAAGGATTTTTTAAAAAAAATACATAAATTGCAAAGATGTATCATACATTATGCGAAATATTGCACTTAACTTTGTTAAAATGTTTTGCTGAGGATAGTTGCTGGAGTGGGTATGACGGTGTTGGGTTATGTCGTATGTAAGTTAAGTAAGATAAATGCCTGTGACAGAGCAATCCCATGGCATCCCCTTAATGACGTGGACACTAAAATTGATTATTCATACTTATTGTTGACGGTAAGTGTGTACGCCATTTATATAGATAGAAAAGCTTAGAAATTTATTAAATAATAGCAGCATAAAAACGAGAGTAAAATTTGAAATATGTCACATTGAATTTTACACGTCAGTTAAGTTTTATATTTTTCTCTTAAAATTGCTTAATTTCATAAAACTGTGCATGAACCTAAGTGGTCAGTGCTGAGTTATTCTTACGGTCGCACCGACAGCGTATACATTAGGGTGGCCCAAAAAACTCAACTTTCACCTACAGAGCAAGACACCTTCTAACTTTTTTCCTTATAGCAAACCTTTAAATAGGGCAGAGTTTCAGCCTCTTGTGCCAACTGCAAGGTGATGCTCAACGACCATGGATTTTTCAAAATTTCATCGAAAATTGCCGAACTTTCATGCAATTTACATTTTGCATATTTACTTACTGTATCATGTTCTTTGTGTTATATTTTACTTACTTAGAGTTGGCTGTTTAACTATTATATGTCATAACTTCCTGTTTAGTGTTACTGCCACAGAGCTAAGTTGAGTTAAGGGAGTTAAGTGAGGTGAGAATTATGACTTATAATGTATAGAGTACGGAACTTGGTAAGACGAACCAATCAGAAAAAAGAATGGAAGAAGAGGACAAGGGAAGATGGAATCATGGCGGGTGTTGTAAGTCCATGCTATTAATAGATTAATTATGTGACGATGAGTACATACCGTCCAAAATTAGCACATCAGGTAAACAGCAAGACAAGATAACTCTAGTAAAGAAAACCTTTCGAGACCAATTGTTCAATCCAAGTGTAGCAAGTGCCTTTGAACGTAATAAAACATCTGATCGTGAAGCTGTTCGACTACTTATTCCTATTGCTGCAGCCCTTGGTCATGATCCAAATGTACTTCATATTTCACGTAGCACTATTCAACGAGAGCGGTCAAGTGCTAGGCATGAAATTTCTAAAGCAATGAAAGATAATTTTGAGCCAACTTGCCCATTAGTAATCCATTGGGATGGAAAGATACTTCCAGCAATATTTGGGGAAGGCTCAGTTGAAAGGTTACCAGTTTTAGTTTCAGGTGATGGGATGCACAAACTGTTAGGTGTGCCAAAGGTGAGCTCTGGAGCTGGTGAGAAGGAAGCAAATGCTGTTCACAAATTGTTGGTGGAGTGGCAGCTGGTTGAGAAGTTTCAGGCTATGTGCTTTGACACAACCTCAGTAAATACCGGCAGAATAAATGGAGTATGTGTTGGCCTTGAAAACAGGCTAGGTCGTGAACTTCATTGGTTAGCCTGTCGTCATCATGTAATGGAGACCATCTTGTCAAAGGTTTTCACCATCTGCTGTGGACTTCAAACTCCCCAGATATCCCGCTTTTCAAACGATTCAAATGCTGTTGGAGTGTCATCACCAGGCAGAATTTTTCTGAATTCCAGGTGACATCTGAAGCTTCCAGTTTATCAGATGCAACCATTGCAGTCCTGACCAAAGAGCACCTAAGGGAACAAGTCAGAGATGATTACATGGAGCTTATTGAGTTGACTCTGATTGTTTTGGGACATCCACCGAGTACAATCCACTGGAGGGCTCCAGGACCAGTACATCGTGCTCGCTGGATGGCAAAATTAATTTATGCCATGAAAATATATCTTTTCCGCAACCAAACAGATGTATTCAAGCTTAAAAAGAAAGAAGATGCCCAAGTTGAGCGCTTTGTTACGTTTGGTGCACTAATTTATACCAAGCATTGGGTAACTGCTCCCCGTGCAACTCAAGCTCCATCCAGTGATTTACAGCTGTGGACTGATCTCAGCAGTTACCAGATCAACAATCCTGACATCAGTACAGATGCAAGAAAGGTCCTAGAAAATCATCTCTGGTATCTTTCAGACGAGCTTGTTGGATTAGCCCTGTTCTCAGATCATGTGACAGCAGCTGCAAAGATGGGAATTGTGCAGGAAATGACCCGTGAGGCTGGCGAACGAAAAGTGCGTGGAGATTCATCAATTCTAATGAAACCAGATGTATGATTAGGTGACTTTGCAACTACCTGAACGGGGAACCTTTTTTGTTGTCATAACATTGACAGCGCCTTTCTTGATTTGCCACCACAAGAGTGGCCTGCAAGTGAACAGTATCGATATGGCCAGACACGATTCAAGTCATGACGTGTTGTGAACGACACTGAAGAGACAAGAGTTGCCTGCAAGTGAACATTATCGCTATGGCCAGACACGATTCTAGTCATGACGTGGTGTGAACGACACTGCAGAGCGGGCGGGGAAGCTTTTTGAAGAATACAACACACTGTTTACTAGCGACGAAGAAGAAAAACAACTCTTATTGCAAGTAGTGGAAGCAAACCGCAAGGCTGTTCCAACACAAATCACCAAAAAGTCTGCTGTTCAGGCCTTAATGTCAGAATGACAATAACATTGACTGATAATGCACGCTTTTGTGACTTGAATTTGAGTTGGTTAAATTTTCAAATTTTTTGATGGAACAGCACAATTTGACCTTTTAATTGTGACAAATGCCAATAACCATATGTTTAAGCTTAGTGGTTAATTTGCAAAAGAGTGTTGAACTGTTGATATTGAAAAGCTATTGCTGGTTGTAATTTTAAAACATTCAACATATGTGTATTGCTTCATTTTGCACGAATTTCGTAAAATTTGGATATTATATTGCTCTTGAGCACCGTCTTGTAGTTAGAACTTAAAGCTAAAACTTTACCAAAACATTACTATTAGCAGATGTAAAAACTTGAGAGAGTGTCTTGCTCTACAGCACACATTTAATTTTTTGCCATATCTCAATGAACCACCCTAGTATACATCTGATATAAGGATCATCAATGTTGTGAGTTCGTGATTCGAATCCAGCTTTAATTAACACCTGTAATCCCACCCATTGACCCCAAAGTTCTTAAAACTATGTACGTGAACTCTGACCCCCCACCCACCCCCACTATAAAAAGGTCCTATTTGTAAGTGCAAGACTTTGGACATCCAGGGTGATTTAATAGTAACGGTTGACAGGCTCATGCCATGGTCCTTGTGTTGTTTCTCACGGGATGGATCCATGGCAAGGTCTCTCAACTTGGAGTCAAGGGGTTTCACAAAGAGTTTTGTGGGAACATCGTTCGTGCTGGTCACTGGACACAGCAAAGGGATTTGTGGGAACAGGGCTGGTGCAGGTCACTGGATACCTGGGAACATGTTTGGTGCTGGTCCCTGGATACCTGGGAACATGGTTGGTGCAGGTCACTGGATACCTGGGAACATGGTTGGTGCAGGTCAGTGGATACCTGGGAACATGGCTGGTGCAGGTCAGTGGATACCTGGGAACATGGCTGGTGCAGGTCAGTGGATACCTGGGAACATGGCTGGTGAAGGTCAGTGGATACCTGGGAACATGGTTGGTGCAGGTCACTGGATACCTGGGAACATGGCTGGTGCAGGTCACTGGATACCTGGGAACATGGCTGGTGCAGGTCACTGGATACCTGGGAACATGGCTGGTGCAGGTCACTGGATACCTGGGAACATGGTTGGTGCAGGTCACTGGATACATGGGAACATGGCTGGTGCAGGTCAGTGGATACCTGGGAACATGGCTGGTGCAGGTCACTGGATACCTGGGAACATGGTTGGTGCAGGTCACTGGATACCTGGGAACATGTTGTTTTAGGTCTTAAAAATCTAAACTAAACAAAATTTTTGAAAAAAAAAAAATATCAGAAAAGTCTATTTTCTGTCTGATGAAAAATAAAATAATTCAAAATGTTTATGGATCATTGCTTCCTTTCACATTTCTTCTAAATACTTTTATATTTAGCATTTTATGAAGACAAAAAAAAAACCCTGAGATTTTAAACATACAATACAAAATATTTTGTTTAAGTTCAGCAACTTGTAAATGGGACGTTGGAAGAAATGAGCTGTATGAGTGTGAGGTAAATGAATGTATACACATTTATACCACAATTTTAAATTTGAGAAGCACTGAAGAAATATGTCTTATCAATCTATGGAATTACAAGTCCTAATCAGTAATTATTTTATACTGGTCCCATCAAGAATTGGCTGGAGTGCACGGAAGACATGTCCAAGATGTTAAGACTATCGGCAGCGTTTTTCTGTTGTGTCCTCACACACTTAGGTGAGTTAGCCGTACTATTTCCTAAAGAAACATAGCAAACAAGATGTTGAACTGTGACAACGATAACAAGAAAATAAGAAGAGTTGAATTTGGACTGACGCAAGATGATATTTACTATTTGGATTGGAACAAGATGATATTTACTATTAACAAAATTCGGACTAAAATACTTCCACAGAAGTTTGATGATTCCCCCCCCCCTTCCAACTCCCCCACATATTTACTTATACATTAAAGTTATTTGGAAACCCTTGGACCGATAACTGCCCGCGTACCGTTGAATGAACGCTCAGAGTTTCAATATGAATCAAATGACTGTTTTATGGATAAGGTTATTTCATTGTTTCAACTCCTGGGGCCAGCTCCATCCATGTTCTCGCACATCGACAAAGTGCGGGTTAGCCGAAAAGGGAGTTTACTTTCTTTACTCCATAGCCAATGAAATCGGATGGCAGATTCTGCAGCGTCACTTCCTGTTTGTTCTCAGGATATACATTTATGATTATATCTTTTTATTGATAATAAATATCATCAAATGCATTTACGTATTTGGTATTTTATATGTATTGCTATTTGACTTAAAACATGAATATACATATATATAATTTCTAAAAATTATGTCATCATCATCATATCCCTAAGTCCTTGGACCGTTGGGGCGCCACAGGTGACATGAAAACTACCCTTCTCCATTCCTCTCTGTTTTCTGCACTTCGCACAGCACCACCTAGATTTAGTCCCGTCCATTCTTTGATATTATCTTCCCAGTTTTTTCTCAAACGTTTCTAAAATGATTCCTTTAAAATGGCATATCAAAGCATCGTGACTAATGGCCATATCAATTCTTCAGCCTTTTCTCAGACGATCGATAACTGCCCGGCCAATGTGCCAAGGGACAGATTCCTTCAAGTCCACGGGGACTCCTGCTACCAGTTCGTGACCAACCGCCACATCACCCACAACGCCGCCAAATCGGACTGCGGCAGACGGGGAGGAACTCTAGCGTTGGTCAAAACTCCGGACATCCAGGCGTACCTCGTCCACGAGCTGACCCACACTTACAACTACCACACCTCCAAGTTCTGGATCGGCCTCAACGACATCGACAAAGAGAACGTCTACAAGTGGGAGGACGGGAGCCCGTTGAGCTACACTGCGTGGGCTCAGGGTGAAGGTCCGGGCGCGACCTCCGCGTATCACCAGGAGAACCATAACGAGAACGACTGCGTGACCATTGACCTGGAATATGGCGGGAAATGGCTCGAGTACCCCTGTGAAGAGACCACGTTCTTCTTCTTCTTCAGCGAAAGCGAGGAGCACTACTACATCTGCCAGTACAAGCTCTCCGCAGGTGCCACGACCGTCTTCACCACTTCGCCGCCGGTGACAGCAACGACCGCGGCTCCGGGGACAGACTCGACGGTGGTGTCCGAGACGGCTCCCTTGGCGATCACGGCTGCCCCGGAGACCACAGTGACCTCCATCTCAAACGCCTGCCCGGCATTCACGTGTGACCTGGACTGTGGGATGGATGGGTTCAAGAAGGACGCTGAGACCGGATGTTCTCAGTGCGCATGCGATGTTTAACTGATTGTCAACAAATAAATCGTTTTGGAAGTAGAATGCTTTTTCATATTTTTTCTCAATTTGCAAACAAGTTTTTAAATATTTTTGACAAACTACTTATGCGATGGATGAAAGAATACTTTTTTTTTAAAATATGACAAGAAAATGAAGTTTCATTTTATAAGGTCTATAAATCTTTGATAATCAAATAACTGTGAAGAAAACATGGTGAGAGATACAATATGATTTGAGTCAAAATTCAATTTCATAAACATCTCAATATCAGCACACTATCATCACAATATAAACACAATATTAAAACAATACAACACAATATTAACAAAATATCAACACAATAGCATTACAATATCAACATTACTTCGCCAAAAAAAAAAAAGGTTAAATGAAATGATTGCATCAAATGCTTAAGGGACTAATGCCTATCACAAATGACAATTATCTTATTGAACAATTACCTTTCGAGATTTTCCAAACCCTAAAGAATGTTACCACGTGCACTGTGATATGTCAACTGTCACAAATCAACTGCCTACCAGTTTTGTTTAAGAAACTCCCCTTTCTCCATTAAAAAGCTTTAGTACTTATGAACACAAATTGATGATAGTTTTAAACACTTCAACGAAAAAATCACTGGTCGTTTCTGGATTGTCCTATTCCAATATATGTAGTTACACTTTTGAATAGGAAGCAAGACCAGGATGGTGACTGTCATTGAAGAGGTCAGGTTGGTGGCTGTTATTGAAGAGACCAGGAGGGTGGCTGTCATTGAAGAGACCAGGAGGGTGGCTGTCATTGAAGAGACCAGGAGGGTGACTGTCATTGAAGAGACCAGGATGGTGACTGTCATTGAAGAGGTCAGGATGGTGACTGTCATTGAAGAGGTCAGGATGGTGGCTGTCATTGAAGAGACCAGGATGGTGGCTGTCATTGAAGAGACCAGGAGGGTGGCTGTCATTGAAGAGACCAGGAGGGTGACTGTCATTGAATAGACCAGGATGGTGACTCTCCTTGACTAGAGACCAGGATGGTGACTTTTATTGAAGAGACCAGGATGGTGACTCTCCTTGACTAGAGACCACGATGGTGACTGTCATTGAAGAGACCAGGATGGTGACTCTCCTTGAAGAGACTAGCATGGTGACTGTCATTGAAGAGATCAAGAATAGTGACTCTGATTGACGAAGTTATTATCATCAATCTATTACTTTCATATAATCCATTTATGGACCATGTACAAGTTAATTGAATGGAATGCCCTGTACAATTAATACCTTGACAAAATTAACGACGTCATCTTTATAAAAATACACGTTATTTCCTATGTATGGATATCCTTAGTGCAAGTAAGTTTAAGGTTTTGGTTTTTAACTCTTCACCGTGACGTCCTTTTGAGACGGGGATAACCAGCAAGTTGAAACGTTTGACCTAAGGTAACATATTTGATGCCAGCAATAGTACCTTTTACACAACTTTGATTTTATTTTCAGAATTACCCAGCCTACAGAATAAACTATTCATCTACTCTACTCACTGATATACCAATCCAACTTTGTTTTCTTACCTAATTTTTTTATGCTATAATTCAGTGGTTCTCAAAAGTTTTTTAACCACCGTCGCGTTGGTACCATCAACGCATTCCATGAGCCCCCTGTGTTACCTCTCAAAAAACATTCAGGACCGTAGTGAAATTTCTCTAATGAAGATATTACAACACAAAATGTAGTAGTGCTATTTGCAATTTAAATTTTAATTAAAATATCTGCTTTTTACTTTAATTAATTCAGTAATAATTGAGTATCTTGATCTATTAATACCACAGCAATTATAAAGAAGGATTATGATTACATATTTAGTAATACGAACTGACTTCTACATCGCTCAATTATGCCTACTGTATGCCTTATATGGGCTTAATAAATTGATGTCAGATCTTCCATGTCAGGTTTAATGTCATTGTACAACAATCCTAAATCTAAACATTCAGCCACATGGAATATATTCCCCTACAAGACAGTTTCCTTCATGGCAAATTTCACCAATGCATAACAATGGCATGAGATTGTCTTCTGCAACAGAAACTCTAAGAACAATTTCTATTAAGCTTTGGATTTAGCTTTGAATTAGTACTTCATCAAAATAACCAAATACAAGTGTAAATTTTTTAATCAGACCATCTAAAATTCCAATTAAAGAACATTCTGGCATTACTCAGACACAACTTCATGTACCATATTCAAAACGGTCAAAAGATATTTTAAGCAGTAGCGTCACTATGGTGCGTAGACCGCACCGGCTGACACCCTCACAAAAAGGGAAAAGGTTGGGGGGGGGGGGCACAAAATGGAAAATTGCAACTTTGGCAATGTTCGCTTAAGCCATTCTCAAAACGTCAGTTAATATCATGAGAAGGGTGTTTCCAGGGGCATGGCTATAGTGTTTGGGGACACGATTCATTGTTACGAAAACCTCAAATCTGAAAACCATTATTTTCATCAATAAAATACCATCAAAGGCCAACGTGGTGCCCCCTGCTAGTCTTGTGCCCGGGGACAAGTTTCCCTCATTGCACGACTTAGCTTCGCCTCTGGTTGCTGACATTGCAGGTTGACACCAGGTAGGTTAGAGTATCCCCACAGCAAGTGGCTTTCAGTATGGGTGTCGCGAGACAGAGCAAGGTGTCTCGAGATAAAGTAGGGTGTCAAGAGACAGAGCAAGGTGTCAAGAGACAAAGCAGAGTGTCAAGAGACAGAGCAGGGTGTCACGAGACAGAGCAGGGTGTCATGAGACAGAGCAGGGAGTCATGAGACAGAGTAGAGTAGTTCGAGACAAAGCAAGATGTTACGAGACAGAGCAAGGTGTTTTGTTTGACTGATATCTATGCATGTCTCTTGTATTGTTTGACTTATGTCTATTCATGTCTCTTGTATTATTTGACTTATGTCTATTCTCGAATCTTGTATTGTTTGACTTATGTCTATTCTCGAATCTTGTATTGTTTGACTTATGTCTATTCTCGAATCTTGTATTGTTTGACTTATGTCTATTCTCGAATCATGTATTGTTTGACTTATGTATATTCTCGAATCTTGTATTGTTTGACTTATGTCTATTCTCGAATCTTGTATTGTTTGAATTATGTCTATTCTCGAATCTTGTATTGTTTGACTTATGTCTATTCTCGAATCTTGAACTGTTTGACTGATGTCTGTTCATTAGCATTTTTAAGTCCGCTAATGAGGATCCAATAATATAAAATCATTTTTATAAAATTTACAAAGTTATATTAACAAAGGTTTTCTGATATAATTAACCACAGTCTCTAGAGATATTCACAGACCACTGAGGTAGTCACAGCGCCCCCCCCCCACCCCCATAATTCTACTTAGTAATTTACCCCCTTCCCGGGACATCTATTCGCCGCCCCTCCCGAGGGTGGGAACGCCCACTTTGAGAACCACTGTAATAAATTTTTAGAGTTTTGCATTTTAATTGATTTATTCCAATCGACCTCTTGCACAAAGTTCATGAACATTAAAATCCGTATCGATTCACAGGGAATTAAAAAAAAAAAAAAAAGAGGGGCAAGTGTTAAGCGTTCTCTATAATTTCTTACATGGAAAACCCATTTTAATCTGTAATAAATTTTTAGAGTTTTGCATTTTAATTGATTTATTCCAATCGACCTCTTGCAAAAAGTTCATGAACATTAAAATCCGTATCGATTCACAGGGAATTAAAAAAAAAAAAAAAAAGAGGGGCAAGTGTTAAGCGTTCTCTATAATTTCTTACATGGAAAACCCATTTTAAGTTTAACCAACTTACCGACAACATTCGGCTCAAAATGTTTGTTTAGTTGTTTATTCAACACCAGCTCTGAGATAGGATTAATGTGTCTGTGGAGACCAACACTCACCATACCAGTAGAATGTCTGTCGATACCCACACTCACATACCTGTAGAATGTCTGTCGATACCCACACTCACATAACAGTAGAATGTCTGTCGATACCCACACTCACAAACCAGTAGAATGTCTGTCGATACCCACACTCACATACCAGTAGAATGTCTGTCGATACCCACACTCACATACCAGTAGAATGTCTGTCGATACCCACACTCACATAACAGTAGAATGTCTGTCGAAAACCGCACTCACATACCAGTAGATTGTCTGTCGATACCCACACTCACATACCAGTAGAATATCTGTCGATACCCACACTCACATACTAGTAGAATGTCTGTCGATACCCACACTCACATACCAGTAGATTGTCTGTCGATACCCACACTCACATACCAGTAGAATATCTGTCGATACCCACACTCACATACTAGTAGAATGTCTGTCGATACCCTGGCCCTTGGAGAATGAATGGACACTTCCTGGGCCTTGGAGAACTAATGGACACTTCCTGGGCCTTGGAGAACTAATGGACACTTCCTGGGCCTTGGAGAACTAATGGACACTTCCTGGGCCTTGGAGAACTAATGGACACTTCCTGGGCCTTGGAGAACTAATGGACACTTCCTGGGCCTTGGAGAACTAATGGACACTTCCTGGGCCTTGGAGAACTAATGGACACTTCCTGAGCCTTGGAGAACTAATGGACACTTCCTGGGCCTTGGAGAACTAATGGACACTTCCTGGGCCTTGGAGAACTAATGGACACTTCCTGGGCCTTGGAGAACTAATGGACACTTCCTGAGCCTTGGAGAACTAATGGACACTTCCTGGGCCTTGGAGAACTAATGGACACTTCCTGGGCCTTGGAGAACTAATGGACACTTCCTGAGCCTTGGAGAACTAATGGACACTTCCTGAGCCTTGGAGAACTAATGGACACTTCCTGAGCCTTGGAGATTCAATCATCTCCATTTATTGGAGATAAAATATAACCGATGCAGTTTTTAAAATGAAAAAACATTATCCATGCCAGTGAATGATTTATAAGTAGTGATTTGTATGGGCCACAAGACATCATAACGCCACTGCACTGGGCAGACGTAGGAGGCGTAGGTAGGGTTAGTGCCGCCCGGGGTGGGCGAAGAATTATGCCGCCCTCATCGACAAAAAAAAAAATTCGCTTGGCACAAAATGCCGACCCTTGATACAAAGAAAAATTTTCCACAAAAATGTGCTCCCACGGGGCGAACTGCCCCCTTCGCACCCCATTCCTACGCCTCTGCAGAAGGTTCAGTTTCTTAGGTTGACCCCACCACCGTTCTTCTGTCTCCCACATGTTACAGTCTCAGTAAGCAGAAGTCTTGTCGGTGATTTAAAAGGCGAGGTTTATCTGTCGCTGACCTGTAAGCGCAATTCAACCATCGACTGACGTGGGCAGGAGATCTTAGGCAGGATGAGGACGTTATCAGCATTTCTGCTCGGGACTGTGTTGGTCAGCATAGGTGACTGTATCATTGGCCTTTTCGTTGTTGGACATTAATAATTTGAAACAGAAAATACAGGATGCTACACTTCTCAATTCAGAAATTGTTCAAAATTTAAAAAAATATCTTTAAAACACAAAACATGTATAAAACACGCTATACAAAGATAGTTCCATACCACCATAACGTTTAGAGAATGTAATCTCTAATTTTAATGTATGGCTCGTTGATAAACAGTACACACCAAAGGACACAAATACTTTCTTCCCATACACATTTTAAAATAAGTTTGATTCTTTAATGCATATTTAAATTTACATTCTTCTTTTCAATGTAATGGATATTTCTAATACAATGTATATCAATTTGATCACAAAATAATTTATCTGATGAGCAATAATAACAGTTTTCGAGTTTGCTCATTTTATTAGTTTAGTTTAAGCTATAAATATTGTAAAATTCTTTGACATTTTACGTAATGAGGCTCATATTTTCCATAGAAACACATTTAAAAAAAAAATATTTTAAATAATTAAAATTTAGTGATTATAATTAAAGTTTTTTTTTTCCTTTTTCTATTTCCTACTAAAAATAGTAAGCATTGCCAAATCTCAAGCAGTTCCTTTGGATCTATCCAAAACCTCTTAACTCTGAACGTCTTGTATTTTGTTGGGCAGTCCTTGAGATCATACTCTTTACTGTAACCTATGTGTATTTTAGCCACTTCCCAGACATTGGACAACTGCCCGGCCGGCCTGCCAAGAGACAGGTTCCTCCAAGTCCATGGAGACTTCTGCTTCCAGTTCGTTCTCAACCGCCTCCGAACCCACACCTTGGCAAAAGCGGACTGCGAGAGTCATGGGGGCACCCTGGCCTTGGTCAAAACCCCGGACATCCAGGCGTACCTCTACAAAGAGCTCGTCATTACCTACAACCTTCACCTTTCTAAGATCTGGATCGGTCTCAACGACATCGACAATGAAAATATCTACAAGTGGGAGGATGGTACTCCGCTGAACTTCACAGCCTGGGATAGCGGCGAGGGTCCGAACTCGGGGTCATTTTATCACGCGACGCACCACAACGAGAATGATTGCGTGGTCATCGACCTGGAGTACGACTCCAAGTGGGCGGAGTTTCCCTGCGACGAGTCGTCGTCCTTCTTGTTCTTTACCGACAGGGAGGAGCACTACTACATCTGCCAGTACAAATTTTCAGCCAGTGTTGCCACTTCAACCACGCAATCGTCGCAGACGACCGCGGCACCAGAGACAGCGCCACCGGCTGCAACAACAGCCGCTGCTTAAATTCGTCCTTGATTAACTTATTGAACTGTGGTGCCTCGACTGCATTTTTGGATGCAAAATGTTCAATCAGCTGAACACCGATAGAGTTTAATGTTATTTATAAAGTTTAAGCCATGAAGTAAGCGGTGTCTATTTCAAAATTAAGAAGATAACTTTTGAAAAAATAAAAAATTACCTATTTTACACACATTTGTTTTATTTTTTATTAAATCCTGTAAAAATGTGTAATGTTCTTTTTTGTTCGGTGTGCGGGTAAACTAGCGAGGATACAACACATTAAATTACAGTAAACAAATTAAATGTAGCAACTCGCTCTACACATGATTATGACGTGTACCAACAGGCAAAACACGCATGTACTTAAAGAAGGAGTAGACAGTTTGATGCCCACGTTACCCCCATTTGAAACTCTTCGGTCTTTTATTTCAACAATGCCTGAAAGAAACAAATTAAAGGTTAACTTGTTCGGGTACAAATGTGTGTTTTTTTTAGACAATGCCCTCTGAGTGAGACGAGCATTTTAAATTTCAGGTGGGCAGTGCCAGTGGCGTAAGAAGGGGGAGTGGACGGGGGGGTTGTCCGCTTTGTGTCATTCTTTTTTGTAGAGGGTTGGCATTATCGGACAACTGGAGAATGAAGATTTTGTATCGTGAAAGGAATATAGAAAACTCTTCGCTGACCCAGGGCGGCACTACAACAGTTACGCCGCCGGGCGCTAAAATTGGCGACCAGGGCCAACTTTCTTCTCATTTTTAAACTGTCAATTCACCGGGAAGTGGAGCAGAAATCGAGAGCACTGATGCCCCCTGAGCAAAATGGCGGAGGGGTTGGTGGAGACTCTCCCCAGAAGATTTCTGATTATGTACAGAGGTGCATTTTTGGCGTTTAGTTGAATTCAGTGTTTATTATTAGACAAGTTGATAGGGGGCAAAGGATTTTCAAAGCACGCATAGTGGAGAGGAAAAGGACATCTATCAGCCTGGAAATAAGTGTGATACATAAACTGAATTTACTCCGGTTATGGTACGCCCCAGGGTAATCTTTTGGCACACGCTTAGGTAGATACAACCTGGTACTTTCACAATGGTTGGGGCGACGACATGGGAAAGCAGAAATTGAGCGTGCCGAGTGAAATCGGGGCCATGGTATTGGGACGGGGCTCATTGCACCCCAGAAAACGTGTGATAAATTCTAAATGTAAGAATGCATTTTAGCACATACCTAAATTTAGTTTTGCATCTTACCACACTTAATCGGAGAGCAACAGGAGAGATGCTAGTTGAAAATGTAGGTGTCACTTAAGCTCAGAAGCCATGAATATTAAAGAGCTCAAGATTGCTTTGTGGAAACTTTTTTAAATTATCAACATTGAATGTGGAAAAAGGGGGGAGGGGGATAAAAAATATGTAGGAGTCTCAAAAAGTCAAGTGGCAGGGTGCACTGCTTGACCTGGTTGTTATCCAGAAATACTTTTATAAAAATTAAATAATAATTATTTATGTGGTTTTCAAAAATAGAGTAACCATCACAAAATGTACTGCTAACATCATTTTTACATGTTGAATGCAAAATGACCATTAAACAAATAATAAACTTACATGTAATAATTACTTTTTCTACATAATTCGGGTAAAAGAAGAGAGAAAAAATACTGTTAAGTAGAAATGTCTATATGTTTTAATGGGTTTTTAAAACTGGTAATTTTTATAAATCGCATAAGAATGACATAAATATGTTAAGAAGAGATTAAATATTTTATTGAATAGTGTTTTTAATGTCACGGATACGTCTTTGCCAACTTTCCACATAACATAATCACCACCTTGAACTGGTTATTCCATTCTGAGACATGGACATTTCCTTTATTTAAACACTATTATTTAGATGATTATTAATGAATGAAACGTGTGGGGGTTTTTTTTCCTTCGTGAAATTGACTTATTTACTGTGTTTGCGATTGTGTGTATCTATAGATATAGATATTTAAATAAACTAATAATTACAAAAACTCGTTATTTAACTTTAAAAGAATGCAATTAATTTTTTAAAGGGATCCCTGAAGTGAGTGGTCAAAATGAAAAATTGTGTATAAAACATGACAAGTGTTTTTTATTTTTATTCATCTTATTTTTTTTTTAATATAATTTTTTTTCAAATAACTATAAGAAGAAGAGAAACAAGTTGAAAGGATAGGGGGGGGGTTCTGTGGAAATATTCCGGTTGATGATGAATACACATTCATAATTATTAAACCATCTTAGAAATTAATTTTAAATTGTGTATAAAACATGACAAGTGTTTTTTATTTTTATTAATCTTATTTTTTTTTTAATATAATTTTTTTTCAAATAACTATAAGAAGAAGAGAAACAAGTTGAAAGGGTAGGGGGGGGGTCAGTGGAAATATTCCTGTTGATGATGAATACACATTTATTATTGCTAAAGCTTCTTAGAAATTAAATTAAATTTATTTTTAAAGTAATTTGTTTTTCCATTTTCGATTAGTAGCTAATAGTAAATAAGAAGATATTAACGTGGAAGGAAGTGGGCAGATTACTTACTGTCACCTACATCTTTTGATCCTTGTTGAAGATAACGAATAAAAATGTATATATATATAATATATATATATGTATGTTTGTATGTATGTATATTCTTTACATACGATTAAAAAAAATTGGAACATCTTAAGAATGTTATACTTTTCAGTGTTTGTTAGAAGTATTTGTTAGAAAGTCTTTGTAAGAAAAAGTATGTGATAGAAAGTATTTGTTAGAAAGCCTGCGATAGAAAGTCTTTGTTAGGAAGTCTTTGACAGAACGTCTCTGTAAGTATATGATAGAAAGTCCCTGTTGCCTATAATAGAAAGCCCTCGATGTATTTGTGAGTAGAAAGGAAATCTTTAAAGATGTAAGCTACCGCTTTCGTAGAGAGTTGACACTCTTACATATTACCTACCTACTCCTTCAGTCAGCCTTAGAATATTTTTTTTTTAAATTTGTATGTCAAGTCTTATCATTAAAACCAAAAATAAATTGATAGCCATAATGAAGACATGTTCGAGTGTCAACTGACGCACATACACAACACTGCCAGGATGTGGACATTCATAACTGTGACTTTCGGGCTTCTGTTTACTAGACTAGGTAACAAATAAATTTAGTCGTCTTACTTTGGATATTTCTAAATTTTAAATAAAACTTAGGTGCCGACAAAAAGTTGTGGCAAAGTAAATATTAACCAATGAAGAGCTTCGGTCTTAGAATTGAATAATTCAACCATATCATCTTTGTGGCTGTTGGAGAGAAATCAGTTTTTGTCAATTTTAGATATTGAAAAATTCAAGAATATTTTTTTTTTTGTTTTTTTTTGTTTTTTTTTTTTTTTTTATTTTTTATATTGAAAAATTTCAAAATTTTTTTTTTTTTTGTTTTTTTTTGTTTTTTTTTTTTTTGTTATTGTAAAAGATGAATTCAGAAAATAATAAAGACACGTTGTACAGTTTCACGTATCGTGTGTGGTTAATAATTCCATCTTCTACGAGCTGGCCTAAAAGTGCATCGAAGGCCAGAGTTTAATATTTGAGAAATATAAAATACTAGATACAGCCCGCCAAACATTGGCGATAGCAATGCGTGAACTTCTCATCTACTAAAGTTACATGATAAAGCATGAACTCAAAGTAACGCATATTTAAGTTAAGAATCCCTATTTTTGCTGCACCCCCTGCCATATGATACGTCACTGCACCCAATTTATTTCACGCCCATGAACTATATTACTATTCTCAGGTCCCAACCACTTTTAAACCGAATATTTTTTACATAATACTTAAATTGAGACGATTTCATTTCGAAAAAGAAAATATTACGCACCAAACGCAATTGCGTTATTTAAAAAAAAAAATATATATCATATACAGCGTAGTGATCGGGAATCAAATTTTGCGCTCTCGTGAACTCATTATTGAACCACACTCTGGCGTATCTATAAATAGCCTGCGTGGTGTTTGAACCGAGTTGGTATTTGACCTTTGCTGGCGAATTATAGATATATATAGATAGATTATATATAGATAGCTGTTTTAAATTGAGACCTCTGATACTAAAGTATGAAATGCGTTGAAATGAGCTGCACGCCAAGAGCATAAAATACAATTCATAGCTGCGTACAACATTGTATTTTCCAGGGCATCAAGAGCGACTAAAATAGAGAGAGAACGAAATCATGGTATGGAAAAATAAGAAAATTATTCAATTTAACCAAGATGCAGAAGAACTAAATAAGTTGCTGAAATTGTGACCGTTTATTGCAAGATAAGAACACATTGATCAGTGCTCAGAGCGAAACGAGTGAAATAAAAGTTAACTCACAAATTATAGATAGATAGATAGATTAGATAGATTGGATCGATGGATAGATAGATAGATAGATAGATAGATAGATAGATAGATAGATAGATAGATAGATAGATAGATAGATAGATAGATAGATAGATAGATAGATAGATAGATAGATAGATAGATAGATAGATAGATAGATAGATAGATAGATAGATAGATAGATGGATAGATGGATAGATGGATAGATGGATAGATGGATAGATGGATAGATGGATAGATGGATAGAGGGATTACTTCACCGTAAGAGAGAAATTCCCCCAAAGGTTATACAAACCTCTAGCCTCTAACCCTATTTTAAAATGATTCAGCTTCATCCCTGAGTATCAACGACTGTCCGGCCGGCGTACCAACGGGACGTCTACCTCCAAGTCTACGGAGAGTCGTGTTTCCAGTTTGTGGTCAGCTGCCGTCGCAGCCATTACCTGGCCAAGGCCGACTATGAGAGCAACGGCGGAACGCTCGCCCTGGTCAAATCTAGTGACATTCAGTCGTTCCTGTACCGAGAACTGCTGGACAAGTACCAGGCCCGCTTCGCCAAACCCTGGATAGGGCTCAACGACATCGACACGGAGGGCGTCTACCGCTGGGAGGACGGCACGGCCTTGGACTTCACGGGCAATGACGTTGGGCAAGGTCCCGACTCCACAACTTTCACGCACGGGCTGCTGCACGAAAAAGAAGATTGCGTTGCCATGGATGTGGAGAGAGAGGGGGGAAGTGGGCCGAATACGCGTGTGGGGAAACGCCGGACTTCCCAGAGGAGCATCCGTACATCTGTCAATTTGCTTTGTAGTCTACGTCTGATGGTCTACAAACTACGGCCCACGGGTCAGATCAGGACGTCCATGGTGCTTCAACACAGACTGGCTGTCCCGGGTAGCACTGGGAAAAAAAAAAGGAAAAAAGAACCAGACACGGAGCGTCTGCCCCGCCTAAATCAGGCTCATACTTCCAAATTAAATAGTAATAACTTTATTTTGATTTAAATAATTCTCCATATTAAATAATGCATTGTTTTGTCTGTATTTTACAAAGAAACACAATATTAGCAGTGTGCCTAGAAATTTCGTTCATATTTTTTCAAACTATCGTCCAGCCCAAAATGTCTGAGGGACAGTGAACCTGCCCCCCTCCCCACCCTAGAGTCTGTGGGGAAATTGAATCCTACGTAACAAAACAAAGTAAAACATAACTTATCTGATAATTGTGTATCATTTCTCAAACTTATCTTTTTAAAATTAATTTTTGGATCCCTTGAATGGTGAACGAAGCTGTTCATTTGTGATAAATTGGGCATTTACGGCCCGCAATATTTGACTTGGCGGACTGCAATATTTGACTTGGCGGACTGCAATATTTGACTCGGTGGACTGCAATATTTGACTTTTCGGGCTGCAATATTTGACTTGGTGGGTTGGAATATTTGACTTGGCGGGCTTCAATATTTGAACTGGTGGGCTGCAATATTTGACTTGGCGGGCTTCAATATTTGACTTAGTGGGCTGCAATATTTGACTTGATGGGTTCCAATATTTGACTTAGTGGGCTGCAATATCTGACTTGGCGGGCTGCAATATTTGACTTGGTGGGCTTCAATATTTGACTTAGTGGGCTGCAATATTTGATTTAGTTGGCAGTAATATTTGATTTAGTGGGCTGCAATATCTGACTTGGCGGGCTGCAATATTTGACTTGGTGGGCTGTAATATTTGACTTGGTGGGCTTCAATATTTGAATTGGTGGGCTGCAATATTTGACTTGGTGGGCTTCAATATTTGACTTAGTGGGCTGCAATATTTGACTTGGCCGGCTGCAATATTTCACTTGGCGGGCTACATTTTTTGATTTGGCGGGCATCGGGTTGACCACACCTTCTTTAGTATCGTGTTTCTACCTTACCTTAATATATTACTCGTACTTGACAAAGTATCTTGGAAAACTTATTAATTAAATTTTCGTCAATCAACCTGTACTCTTGAAATAAACATATGCCAATCAACATTTACTACTGAATCAAGAGACATAATGTCAGGGGTGCTATCAATCAACATGAACTCCTGACTTAACATATGTCAATCAACATGTACTACTGAATCAAGAGACATAATGAAAGCCATGTGTCGGGAAAAAACTAAGTGTGAAACTTTTATTCATTGAAACATAAATCACGTGATCTCCATTTTAAAGGAATCCAGGAAAAAAAAATTCGTTGGCCAGATGCCACAACCATCCATCCCCTTCACACCCCACTCAAACCCCCCCCCCCTTTCAAGGGGCGGGGGGGGGGCCCCAGCGATGACTTGCAGATTTGCGTACCTTTCTTTAATTCAGCAATTCAGCTTGGTAATAAAATATTTCACCCCGTGATGGTGCTAAAAAAACTCCGTTGGCCAGATACCACAACCCCCCATCCCCCTCCCACCCCACCCAAACCCCCCCCCCCCTTTCAAGGGGCGGGGGGGGGGCACCAGCGATGACTTGCAGATTTGCGTACCTTTCTTTAATTCAGCAATTCAGCTTGGTAATAAAATATTTCACCCCGTGATGGTGCAACACATGGAAACAAAACAAAAACAAACATACAAACAAAACTATTCTTTAAAAAAATAAAAATTAACAAGATCATTGTGAATTTGCCGAATTTGAGCGATCTCAGCAGGTGGTTGGAGATAAGATCAAGTCAGTGGCCTCATTTGGTGTCTTCACAACGACAGTCAAATGAACTTTTAGGGTTATGCCATGTTTGTAGATATGCTTAGAAAATCGACAATACTTTGACGCACAAGAAACAAGTTCAAAATGATTCCATCATCCGAATGCAAATTATTAAAAATAAAAACATACATTAATATTTTAGCCGTTGGAATTTTACAAAAATGAAAATGTAAACATAAGAAATTCATGTTTAGTTTGTAGTTTTGTTTTTTTTAAATCGTTTTTTTTTATGTTTTACACTCGGTATGTTAGCATGAGTGGCAGATGTTACAGTTGTTAGGCATGTTACAATGTAAGAGCTTACAAAAAAAATTAAAGCATTCGTAACTTTCTTGAGCCAGTAATAGTAGAATGTGGTTCGAGAGTTCAATGTGAGACAAGTAATATAAAATATTGTTTAAACAATTAAAAAAGAAACCGACTTTCTATCAAAGACGAGCTTTTAAACAACTAAAAAAGTAGAAATTAATATTAAATTTATTAAAATGGGTACGTAAAGAAATGTTTGTACTTTTTTAATTATAATGATTAAATTTGTAATGATTAAATTATCGAGAAAAGAACAATTATTTACTTTTTTTTAAAACATCGAATGGAGCTTACAAAATCCCGGTTCAAGTGATTTAACTCATTACCTAGGCATGCAACTAAACAAAGACACAAATAGATCTAAGCTCACCCACCCACCCGTTCACTCAACAGCGAAGCAGAGCCGCCTCCGTCGAAGGCGTTTTCCCCAGCCGTTCACCAGATGAACACTGCACCAACAAGTCTTCAGATGTCACGTGTGTAAACAAACAGATTAAGTTCGACACACAGGACATTACGATTCAAGTGATGGACAAACGAGCAGAGATGAAGTTTTTAATAAGAAAGGGGGAAGGGATAGAAAAGGTAGACATTGCGAGTGAGGAAATAGAATGGCGGAGAAAAAAAAAGGAAACACAGACTTGGTTCTGGATAGCTTGCCATGAAACACCAAGAGGAATTATTTTGAAAAATAGTCATGTACAATACTCAGTTCCTCTAACATTCATTAAACAGTTGTTTAAATGTATAACTTACCGGTCATAAAAGGAATCTACTGAATTCCCTCCCCACCCCATTCCTTTACTTTTTTTTCTCAGAGCACCCATACTTACAATTACGCCTCTGAAAATGCTAACGATTTGCAAAGAAGTTGAACGACATTGTATTCAATATGAACTATTTTGTCTTAAAACTGTGTTCTAGAATCTAGGAGTTCTCCATCCCATGTACTTTATCCTAAGATCCCAATCTGTCATTTCCCAGGACGTGACGTTTCAACACGAGGGGTAAAGAGCACAGCACGGTGTGTTTTATAGTGTGTGCCTCAAGTGGTGTTCGTGGTCAACAATTACCGTACACAGCACATCGCATTGATTCTCGTGGTCAAGCTTTTTATCTTGCTCAGGTGTGTCGGGTGAAGAAGTCACAGTTGAGATGATGTTATTCGAGTTAGCATTTCTGTGTGCTCTACTCACAAGTCTAGGTAATCGTCAAGTTGATTCTTCATTCTGGGGAAAAATCAATGTAAATAAGGCTTGCATAATGTGCAGTTTGCGCAACTCAGAGAATAATATTATGAACGTATTGGCGCTATTAACTTATTCTATATATATATATATATATATATATATATATATATATATTATATATATAAGAATAAGAATAAGTTATTAAGTTATTGTGACCTTGTGTATAAGAAGGAGCTTATGTCACCATGCAACGCTAAATTCTTAAAAACAACAATAATGATTTAGTATTAATTTGCAGAAATCGAATCAAATTAAATCTGATAAAATATATCTGCTTATATGCAAGAATATGTAATCTTGGATAATATTAAGCTCATACATTAGGAATAAATGTATATTATAAATTTAAAGACGTGAAAATGTAACCTTTAAAAATAGATGCAGAAGATTTTCTTTAAATATAAATGAAACGCGTTTGTGTATTTGAAAAGCCCAGACATTCTGCCGGAACGCTCATCAAGAAAACCATCTGTTTATGTCACAAGTGTGCACTTTCAGAAAGCAACACTAAACAGCACGTGGGGGGGGGGGCGAACTTTTTGCGACATACGAAAATGTACGAACATTAAAGATCGAAAATTCACGTATGTATATATATATATATTGGATGAAATCGGTAATAAGTATAAGACAAGGGTTGATGCTGGTGAGATCAACAATCTTTTCGATGGATTTTGAAATGTAAATAGAAACTTTGTTTTCCAGAACGTCTCCAAAAACACGGTAACGGGGGGAAAAATCACATTAATTTCGTGATTTTGTGAAGTTTTGTAGAATTATAGCGTGTACACAGAAACGTTGATCAATTGATCTTCTCTAGATTTTGTTCCCGTTGTTCCCAGTTTAACATGCCTTGGATTTGGTCGAATTTGAGGTTTAGACATCAGCGCAGCTTTTTTTTTTTTAATAGTAAAAATCTGACAATCAATTTTGTCCTCTCCAAGTGATTTTTTTTGAAAAATCTTCCCCTGATAATAAGAGAGTATTGTCATTACGGTCATAAAACTCTCATAAAATAACTCTCTAAAATAGGGATCTCAAAGTATTCAATTCAATGTAGAAGTCAACGGCACTAAATGAATACTGTTTAGTTTCAGTTGTTTCTTTCATATCTACGCTTAAATATTAAATGTGTCAACTCTCTGTCAACTAAACCAACACTTTAGTCACATCATCATCTTATTTCTATGTTGTTGTTTTTTCTTCTTTTTCCAGCTGGTGCTCAAACTATCAACGACTGCCCCGCGAGTTTGCCCAGAAACAGTTTTCTACAAGTTCACGGGGACTCCTGTTTCCAATTCGTTCTGTTTCGAGAACGTACCCACACTCAAGCCAAAGCTGATTGTCACAGCAACGGCGGCACACTGGCTTTGGTCAAGACCCCTGAAATCCAGGACTACATTTATCACGAAATATTAAGCACGTACTACGGCTCCACCGTCAAAGTCTGGGTCGGCCTCAACGACATCGACAATGAAAACATCTACAAGTGGGAGGATGGTTCGCCCGTGACCTTCTCAAACTGGAACACCGGCGACGGCCCCGCTTCGGGCACCACTGGGACGAGCCACCACGCACTGAACCACAACCAGAACGATTGCGTCGTCTTAGATGTGGGGCTCAAGGGGAAATGGGTGGAGTACCCCTGCGAGAGCCATCCTCTATTTATTGTGTTTAGCCAAAACGAAGCACACATGTACGTCTGTCAGTTTAAGCTTCACATAATCCCCACAGCAGCAGCAGCAACGACGACACCACCACGGACATCAGGAAGCTTGGTAACGCAGGCAGATACAACACAAATGGAGATACTAACCAATGTAGAACATGAGTTAGAAACAACTCAGGAACAAGGTGTGCAAGTAACAGAACAGCCTAATACACATGCTACAGAAGACTTTGAAGTAACCGAAGAAACAGAAGAACCCGTTTCAGAGTCCCCAGACTAGCCTCACAACTTCATTTTCAGTGAAGCCACAGAATTTTGTTGTAATGTTTTTTGCGAAATAAAAAGAAGAAATACACCACGGTACCTTTTAGTTGTTTGTATGACGTGTAGTAAAAACCAAAGTCACAAAACAGATCTGTAGAACCACACAATGTTCAAACATGACAATTCATCATAACGCTGGGTTACATGATGAAAGGGAGAATCGCAGAAAACTAAAAATTAACCAACAGTGATAGCTGGTAATAGAGTTGAGCCGAACCTAACAAGCATCACAACTAAAATGTTTGAGTTTAAACTTATAAATATTCTAAGCTAGTGGTTCGCAAAGTGCGCAGTACCGCCACCCTGGGGGCTCTGGGATGGAACGTGGGGGGGGGGGGTGGCTGAAGGGCTTGGGAGATTTGGGGGGCGCTGGGACTCCCAAACGAGACGTCAGAGAATTCTATCACTGTTCTAAACATGGAATCAGAACAACGTTCACTACCAGAATAGTAAGTTACTGGATCTGACCCAAACCGGAAGTAGCAGAACAAGGTATGTGGAAGCAAACAGAAAGACAGAACAATAAAAGAAGAACGTTTCGGCCAAGAGCCTTCCTCAGCAGACACGACACATGAAAAACTGACAAGATATTTTTTTTTTTTAATAAAAACTGTAAGTGGTTGCCATTGATGTTAATGCGGAGCTAGCAACCAACAGCGTTTACTGAAGTTTTATTTGCACGGATTGTCCTTGGGTTTTCTAACGATTATTCCCAGACTGATCCTAACCATAATCCCCAGACTGATCCTAACCATAAGCCCCAGTCTTTTCCTAACCAATAATCCCCAGACTTATGCTAACCAAAATCCCACATACTGATCCTAATCATAATCCCAGACTGGTCCTAATCATAATCCCACATACTGATCCTAACCATAATCCCAGACTGATCCTAACCATAATCCCCAGACTGATCCTTACCATAATCCCCCGACTTATCCTAACCATAATCCCCAGACTGATCCTAACAATAATCCCCAGACTGATCCTAAACATAATCTCAGACTGATCTTAACCATAATCCCCAGACTGATCCTTACCATAATCCCTCGACTTATCCTAACCATAATCCCCAGACTGACCCTAACCATAATCCTCAGACTGATCCTAAAAATAATCCCCAGACTGACCTAACCATAATCCCACAGACTTATCCTAACCATAATCCCACAGACTGATCCTAACCATAATCCTACAGACTGATCCTAACCATAATCCCCTGACTTCTCTCACGTTTTGTGAACGTTTACGATCTGATAATTCTGTAAAACTATAATAGATAATTTGCTATGGAGAGTGGCAAATTATTAGATGAAAAAAACTAAAACTAGCGGGAGGTATTCGCCTGAGTTCACCAGGTGCGTTGAGAGAGAGGGGATCTGCGGACCAGGGAACCAGTTTATCATCCTAAAAAAACCACCAATTCGTGAATTCGTCTAGTTAAGACTGCATCACATTGTGATAGATGGGTGCAACAAAAATAAATAAAAACACAGCTTGGTGCATTTACCAAGTAATTAAAATAGTCTTATTATTTCTAAAAGTGAAAATTAAAATATTTTCCCCATTGAACCAACGTCATGGCATGTAAATTGAATTGTTATAATTTCTAGTGCTTTCCTTGAAATGGCACGCGCATCTTTAACAAGTAACACATACATATCATAAATGACTAAGAAAGCTCACTTTTTCGATATTAATTCTCATCATTTGCATATTATATGAGGCTGCTTTAGAGACTTTCATTTTTTATGTTAGGTTTTTATATTGTGAATTTTATATTGTGAACTACACTAAGTATGAGTGTGCCAGGTAATGATAAGATATCATTGTATAAAAGACGCGGAGATGCCAGGAAGACTATCGCTATTGTTACCCTCGCCAATGTCACTTAAAACCTACCATAAATAGTTGAAGCGTCTAATAATTTAAAAATATAGAGATATTTTTTTAGGGAAAGACAATTGATCACTTTCTAAAACACAGTTTTGAATTAATTTTTAAAAAAAAGTTATTTTTTAAAAAGCATACCAAAAAGTTGAACCGTCTGAAGACGCTTATTCTATCTAGAGCATCTGTTCTCAACCGGTGGGTCGCGACCCCTTCGGGGGGTCTAACGACCCTTACATAGGGGTGCTTAGGACCATCGGAAAACGCGTGTTTATGTAGTGGCAACGAAAATAATTTTATGGTTAAGAACCACAAAATGACGGACTCCATTAAAGGGTCGTGGCATTAGGAAGGTTGAGGACCACTGATCTAGAGGATAGGACTTTTTTTTATACAACAGTTTTCGCATCAGACCATGGAGCATTTACAAACCTTGGTCTATACTGGAATATTAAAACTACCCCAGAGACTACTCTTATCACGGCACTCAATCATATCAGCACTATCACACGGAATGGTGCTTTCAAACCTAGTGCAAACAAAAATGAAGATCGAACCAAAATCATTCTAAACCACCGCCCTCACAATGGAATTGCCCCAAAAAGATTCCTAAAGAATTTACACATACTTCTTGCTGACCACGAGACCAGCCGGGTATTCTCGTCCCTTCCACTTACTGTCTTCAGACGGGACAGAAATATAGGTGACCCTCTGGTCGCCCTCCAACTGACTCGTCTCACGTTGTGACTAAGCAATGTGCAAGAAGCCGTTTGCAAGACTTGCCCCTATACCCTCGAAACCAAAAATCATTAGCCTCCCTAAGGCTACTTTTACCATCAAAGAAGGCTTCACATTTGTTTGTCGAAATGTGATACATGCGATGGTGTGCCGTAGATGCCGCTTCTGTTAAATAGGAGAAGCGGGAAAAAAATATTAACTGATAGATTCATTGAACATCTTCGTGATATCGCATAGGGCAAAGTTTTCCCGGTCTCATCCCATTTCAACGGAGATTAACACATCAGATGTTTCCATCACGGTACTGATTTACTGCATTAACACACGAGCGAGGGTTAGAGTAGAAAACAATTAATTCAGCTTTTTTGGCACACTATCACCATATGGAACCAATCAAATACTCTCCTACTAGTGATCCTCAATGTCCCTGTATTTCTTGTTTTATTTCAGTATACTTTACGTAAGTTCCAAAATATTTTTGTCCGCTACAATTTTATTTTTTACAGTAGAGATACAGAAGTTCCTTTACGTCCTGTAATGCAACAAATAATTCTTTTTTTTTTGGAGACCCAACTTCCGGCAATAACGTAGCATTCATGAAGAACTCCAAGCACATAAGTTTAAAAAAAAAAACTTTTTTCCTATTTCTTGTTGTTTCGTCTTTTGTCCTGCCTCTTGAGGAAGGCTTTTAGCCGAAACTTTCTTCTTTTATTGTCCTGTCTTTCTATTTCAAGCTTCCATATACCTGGTTCTACTGTTTCCATCTATGCTGGCAGCCATTCAAGTAAGCCCTTACTCTTTTCGAGATTTTAATTACATCACTTTTCGAAATAGGTACATCGAAAATGCGCTAAAATTGTAAAGTTTAAAATAACTCGCCGACTTGGCAGGGTGTCAAATATTAACTTTCCAGGGCGTATGGGGGGGGGGTAGAATGTGATTTAAAAAGTGAAGAAACAGATTTCATGCAAAGTTATAATAAAAATTCAACAATACCACTTCACGTGACAGAAATCAACGATAGAAATAAATTGTCATGAACAGCAAATAATTTAGCCATAATTTATTATTTATAATCTCGTTCAAGACAATATTGAATCCTTATTTCGTGTCATTATTTCGTGTCATTATTTCGTGTCATCATTTCGTGTCATTATTTCGTGTCATAATTTCGTGTCATTATTTCGTGTCATCATTTCGTGTCATTATTTCGTGTCATCATTTCGTGTCATTATTTCGTGTCATCATTTCGTGTCATCATTTCGTGTCATCATTTCGTGTCATCATTTCGTGTCATCATTTCGTGTCACATTCACAGAGTGAGCATCCCGTCTCCCCGTCTTTCTTAAACCCATCCATCCCACAATCCAAATCACAGGTGAACGCCGGGCAAGTTTTGGAGATTGTGGACACCGTGGATTGGGGCCCCGGCGTCAGCTCCATGTCGGTAAAGTTGGTCGGGGTGGCCACGGTGGTCCGTGCCTGGTATCTGGGGTACTGACACACGAAAGGTTTACCGAATCCGGTCAGCTCGTCCAGCTGGTTGGCGACACATCTCTCCGGCACCCACCTGCCCCCCTGACCCGGGCTCAGGGCCACACATCGGGGCGACCCGCTGTCTGGCGAGTCGCCGCCGCCAATGGCGGTCGCCCAGTTGGTGTAGTTGAGAGTCGTCCCGTCCTCCCACTGGAACGCGGCCTGGTCCTTCCGGTTGCTGAGACCAATCCAAACCTCAGAATGTCGGTAGTACGTGTGGATTATCTGGTTCTCCAGAAATAATTCGATGTTGCGAGACTTGACGAGGGCCAGCGTCCCCCCATGGGCCGAGCAGTATGCGGCAGCCGTGGGATAATCGCGGGGTTGAAAAAATACGAACTCAAAGCAATAGCTTCCATAAACCTGGAGGAACTGGTTTACCGACACACTCGGTGGGCATCCGTAATCATTTGCCGCACCTGTTGGATGAAGTGTACGGTGAAATAACTCAACGAACAACATGTGCTAATGGAATGGTGGGTCAGAGAATAAAAAACATGAATCAAATATATATATTGATAGATGGACAAAGAGATATAGGAGATATTCTCAGAATATATATTATGAAAGGATAGATGGATAATTCTTTGTTTTTTTTAAACTTGATAAGAAGTAATGGTACCATTGATAATCTTCTTTTATACTTTTGCTTATCTCAGAAATAAATCTTAAACTAAAACATGCGCGCTAATTCAAGATAAATAACTCGTGCTCAGAACGTCCACCGACACATGTTGAATTCTTACCTGTGCAGCCCAGGACAACAAAGATCAGAACTACAACAAGCATTCTACAACATCGTTGAATTACACACAACACAACACAACACAAGATGGAGGTACAACCAGCAGCGATCGAGTCGACCCGTGTCTTTATCTCACTGGGTTGATAGGAGTTCGATGGTGTTGTGTTGTGGTGTTGCATGTCTTCCAGCGTTATCTCCCTGTTCTTATCTCGGGCTTCCTGTGCGCAAAGACAATTTGTGGACATCTCACCAGACGTTTTTTTTAAAAAGGGTTGGGGGGGGGGGGGGTTACAATTGCATCACACGACATTAAATTTAATAACCAAAATTCTTCGACACACCGCTGCAACTACAAAATATTCGCTGCTGTGTAATACAGTATTATGATGAGAGCAATAATAATTTCAATAAGAAGAAGTAGGTTAATGTTTTAAATGTCAGGTCACATCCAATTTGTTTTATAATTTGACACCCCTCCCCCCAACTCCACCACCCACCCCCCTACAATTTCAATTAAAAATATATAAAAAGGGAAATTTGTATTTCTTAGTATCAAAATATTGCTACACATGCTCAGATCATGTACATCCCATCTTTGTGGAGCTACAGCCAATGTAATGATTTGGTCTGCCTCATCACTTCCTTCCACTCAGACCTACATAATGCTTTTCTTTTCCATGCTTCGACTCCCATCTGGTGTAGATCTTTATCCACATCATCCATCCATCTAAGCCTAGTTTTGCCTTGGAGCCTTTTTAGCTCTGAAGTTTGGGTGGTGCAACCTCTTCACTCCTCTGTCATTTGGCATTCTTTCTTAGTGTCCCACACAGAGTAACCTACTCTTTTTTAGTACTGCTACTAGTGTGGGAATCATGATTTAGTCTATATAATTCCTGGTTGGTTTTTATTCTCCATCCATATTCATGCTTTGTTGGTCCACAACTTTAGTTGCCCATGTATTAATTAATAAGTTAGCTTCTGATTTTGTTAGGGTCCACGTTTCACTGGCGTTTGTTACTACTGGTCTGATTAAGGTTTAATCTATAATTATCTTTGTTTATCTTGTAAAGTTTTTACTTTTGAGCATTTTGTCACTACGGAAGTATGCTCTGTTTCCAGTCGATAGTCTTCATTTAATTTTTGTTAGTAAGTCATTTCTTAAATTTATTAAGGGGCCTAGTTATTTGAATTGATTCACCTTTTCAAAAGTGTGTTTTCTAATTAAAATGGTTTCATCTGTCTGTTCTTCTCTTTACAAACTCATGGATTTTGTTTTTAAATCCTTTATATTAACTTCGCTTTTGCTTGTGGGTGGCTGGCAAAAAATCTTCGGACAACTGATTGACCCACTTCCCGTCAACCTATCGAGCTGAAACTTTGCACATAAACTCTTTGCCGATGACAACATATTCTTTGAAATCTTCCGTCCAACCCCCAAAAATCTCCCTTTTCCTCTTTTTCCTATTATTAAGAGGACAATGAAGGAAAATTCCCGATAGCTGCACTAAATGAGATTCTTTTTTAAAAAAAGCGCGTTTGGTGCGTACTATTTTCTTTAGTTTTTTCTGAACTAGTTGTTACTTGTATGCATGTTTTGTCCTGTTTTAAGCCCCACCCCTCATTACTAAATGTTACATTTTGGAATGGATTTATTTGAAAAACTTGGTTTTTTAGAGTTTTTTAAAAATTTGGTTGTTGACTTCCAGCCCTGCTTGTAGTGATGCGCCTTCTAATTGTTCAATAAAAGCTTTTGATATGTCTTTACTTCTTACCATTAACAGCGTGATATCTCATCGGGGTGAGCAAGACACTGAGGGGGTTGAGTGCAGAGAGTGGCCATTGCTTGTGGGTCTTGGGTTTCCTTTAGAACGTATCCTGTGCTTGGGTGTAAATATGTTTGCTTCTTAGAACTCTCTCTAATGTCATAAGGTTAAATAGCATACAAGACAGTGAGTCTCTTTGTCTTAGGCCTAACCTGAAATTCCCTTGAATATTACCCTGAACCTTGATTTTGCTTTTGTGGTTCTTGAATGTTTTACGTATCAGTCTTGTCAGCTTGTTCGGTATACAAAACTCCTAAAGAGTCTCATATAGATATTTTCTTTTGATGCGGACATAGGCCATTTATATAGTCAACATAGAGTAGATGTACTGGTATATTATATTCATAACATTTCTCTAACAGACATCTGATGGTGTAAATCTGATGAAAGTCGTTGATCGATTTTGTCTGAATCCACATTGGTAGTCACCTAGTATTTGCTCAGTGTATGGTTGTAGTCTTTTGGCAATTACTTTTGTCAGTATTTTGTATGAAACATTTAATAGGGAGATTCTCTGTAGTTTGTGCATTGACGTTTGGAACCTTTCTTGTATATTGGAGTTACTTGCACTTTTCCCCATTATGTGGGTATTTTTCTTTCTCCCCAACTTTAAGTGATAGCTTTATGTGTCTGCGTATGTAGTTGTCTTCCTCCATATTTAATACGTTTTGCTGTTTTGAGGTTTTCTCCAAGAGTTTTTTTTTTTTTTTAAAGAGTTGATTTCATTTGTAGTTTCTTCCAAAGTTGGGGAGTTTATTAAAGGGTCTTGCACTCCATGGGGTTGTTCTTAATCTTCATCTTGTCCATTGTCTGCGTTTAGTATGCCCTAAAAATATTCAGCCCACATCTCCAGTACTTTACTATCTTCTTTAATGTATTCTCCATCATTGCTCTCACACATTGAGGTATGTCTTGATATCCATTCTTTTCGTATTTTATCTTCATGTATATTCCTCTAATATTCTTCTAATAGTTCGCTCTTTTGATAAGTTTTCCATTTCTTTCAGTTTAGCTTTTTCCCATTGCCCCTTTTCTTCCTGCACAATTTCCTGGCTTTCCTTCTAGCCTCAAGGTATATTAGTCTCTTCATAGCCCAACTGTATAGCCCAACTTTATAGCCCAACTGTACAGCCCAACTGTATAGCCCAACTGTACAGCCCAACTGTATAGCCCAACTGTACAGCCCATCTGTATATAGAAAATTATAGGACAATAATACATTCGTCAGTTCAAGAAGTTCATCTTAACTAAGAACGCCCAGTGTTTATTTTCTTAAGGTGCCGTCACAGTCGTTTTAATTAGGTTAGGCGGGCAGAAAGTGATGGCACCGACGGCTACCGAGCGAATATGGAGAGGGGTCAGGAAATTATTTTGGTAAATTCTAATTCAAGAGGTGCAGTTTGGCATATACCTGAATAGAGTGTTTCAGAAAAATTGAAACAAGGAGGGAACATTTCAGGGGTACATGGAATCTATCAAGACACAGATTAGGTATTAGGCCACCCGGTACCATACATAACTTGAATGCACTCTGGTTGCTGCGCAGCCGAGGGTATTCTTTTGGCCCCAGCTTAGTTTCTCCCTTTACGGTCACTTTGTTCGGCATGGTCGAGGGGGGTTAAGCAGCATTGGAGGCTGTCGAAGCCTCCTGAGCGAATGCGAGGGGGGGGGGGGGGAGGGGGGGCCTTGACATGGTCTCATGAGTCCTTCCCCAGGAAAGTTTTGATAAATTAAAATTGCAGCCATTGATTTTAGCGCTTTCCTAAATGTATGTTTGCATCACTGCGCACTTAATTGAAGAGCAACAAAAATGTAGGTGTCTCCTAACCAACCTGGTTGTATTTTATAAAAAAAATATATTGAAATATAAAAAGCGTCATATTTACCATTCTAACTATATCCTAACTTTCACTAGATACGAAAAGCGAAAAAAACAACTGTTTAGTAGAATAACACTAAATGACAACTTGCATAAACTGTTTATAAATTGCAAAAAAATTACACTAATAACTATATTTTAAAAGCATGACGCCAGTGCACGGTGAACACTTTGTCTTAGTTTAAATGTTAATCTAATGCTATAAAGAATTAAAAATTGAGACATTTTGCCTTTGTTTGATAGCCAGTGAGAACTCATTTAAATTAATGTCCAGGCGTTTTTAGCGGTGGAAAGTTGGTTTAATTCATAAACATTTTAAAATACTTTAATAAACAGAGAACAGAATTATTTTTTAATTATATTTTTTACAGCACTTCTTAGAAAACACGAAAGATTGAATTGGTTGGTCTCTTTGAATTAGCCTCTCTAAGGGAAGTAACCCGACCAACGTGTGCATAGAGGATGGATAACTAACTACCTCAAGCGAAACCGTGTCAACGGCGTTAACTTCCTTTGTTGACAATTCATACTTTATCAACAAAAGAAGAAAAAAAAACAACAACAACAACAGAAAACATATTTTGTTTGTTGTAAATTGTCTTATTTGTTTGTCAGAGCAGTCAATACCGGATGACACTGAAGTAGTGAATGATCTGATTCAGAGTAAATATGTAAGAAAAATGATGATATATGCCAGTGTTGTATACACTAATGTCCAAACATGCGCGCACACACACACAGAAGTATCAATGTGCTATTTCTAGACTCTACGATTCAATAATTAAATTTCACGCTAGAAATACATGCGATGACAGAAGAAAAATATTCTTTAACGCAGAGCCCAGAACTTAAACGTCACATTCGCACAGTGAACACGACGAGGTCCCATTCTTCTTGAAACCGTCCATCCCACAATCGAGGTCACAGGAGAAGGGCGGACACGGGTGCGTCATAGAGATGTCCGTCGCTGTAGCCACGTGAGCGGTCGGCGCCGTCGCAGTCCGTGACGTGTACTGGCACACATACGAATGCTCATACCCGAGTGATTCTTTGTTCTCGCAGACGAAGTCGTACCATTTCCCGCGCTGCCTCGTGTCAAGCAGGGCGCAGACCTCCCCGGGGTGCTTGTGGTCGCCCTCGCCGATGGCCCAGTTGCTGTAGGCGAGGGGCGTGCCGTCCGCCCACACGAAGGTGCCGTCGTTATCCCGATCTTCCAGTCCTATCCACACCCGGATGTCGGGTCTTTTGTACGCGTTGACCAGTTTGTCCACCAGGAACCCTTGGACGGCCGCCGAGTCGACGACGGCCAGCTTGCCCCCTTGACCCTCGCAGTCCTGCTCGGCGTGGACGTAATCCTTGACTCTGTACAGCACAAAGTAAAAGCACGAGTCTCGGTACAGTTGGCGGAATTCGTCTTGAGGCAAGCCAGGGGGACACGCATCATCGACTTCTGTTTGTTCGCTGACTGATTAAAATTTTGAGACAACATTTCAGTTGGAAAACAAAGCTACGTTAAAATATTTTTTTTTTTTAAAAATAAATATATTCATAAAAAATATGAAGTACGAAATACGGAAACGGAATTATTTTTAAAAAAAAACAACAACAAAGCAGCCATATTTACACCATAGAGCTGTGTGTTCTTCTGTAAGTCAAAAACTAATCTCATGAATTTTTACAAAAAAATGTTTGCATAAAATTTAACAAACATTTTTTTTTTAAAGTAACTAAGAATGTAATACTATCCTTAAAAAAACTACCGTAAACACAGTGTGCTGTTTACTTTGGTGCGATCACATGAGCCACATGACGTGCAATGTAGCATGCGATCACATGAGCCACATGACATGCAATGTAGCATGCGATCACATGAGTCACATGACATGCAATGTAGCATGCGATCACATGAGCCACATGACGTGCAATGTAGCATGCGATCACATGAGTCACATGACATGCAATGTAGCATGCGATCACATGAGCCACATGACGTGCAATGTAGCATGCGATCACATGAGCCACATGACGTGCAATGTAGCATGCGATCACATGAGTCACATGACATGCAATGTAGCATGCGATCACATGAGCCACATGACGTGCAATGTAGCATGCGATCACATGAGCCACATGACGTGCAATGTAGCATGCGATCACATGAGCCACATGACGTGCAATGTAGCATGCGATCACATGAGCCACATGACGTGCAATGTAGCATGCGATCACATGAGCCACATGACGTGCAATGTAGCATGCGATCACATGAGCCACATGACGTGCAATGTAGCATGCGATCACATGAGCCACATGACGTGCAATGTAGCATGCGATCACATGAGCCACATGACGTGCAATGTAGCATGCGATCACATGAGCCACATGACGTGCAATGTAGCATGCGATCACATGAGCCACATGACGTGCAATGTAGCATGCGATCACATGAGCCACATGACGTGCAATGTAGCATGCGATCACATGAGCCACATGACGTGCAATGTAGCATGCGATCACATGAGCCACATGACGTGCAATGTAGCATGCGATCACATGAGCCACATGACGTGCAATGTAGCATGCGATCACATGAGCCACATGACGTGCAATGTAGCATGCGATCACATGAGCCACATGACGTGCAATGTAGCATGCGATCACATGAGCCACATGACGTGCAATGTAGCATGCGATCACATGAGCCACATGACGTGCAATGTAGCATGCGATCACATGAGCCACATGACGTGCAATGTAGCATGCGATCACATGAGCCACATGACGTGCAATGTAGCATGCGATCACATGAGCCACATGACGTGCAATGTAGCATGCGATCACATAAGTCGCGTGACGTGCAATGTAGCATGCGATCACATGAGCCACATGACATGCAATGAAGCATGCGATCACATATTATGTCACATGACAGGCAAAATGGCGGCGGTTTTCTCGTTATCGAAGATTTCAAATTTATGATTTTCGCAGACTTAATAACAATGATCTGTACTTACAAAGGAAACTTGTAACCCAAATGAACGCAGTCAATCTGGCAATCATCTTAAACAATGCAGTCGTCAACTGGCAAACAATAATTCGTGGTAAAAATATGGCAGAGTTATTTTTTTTTTTTTTTAATGGCAACTGAGATAAGTGATTGCCTTCGACCTTGACATTTGAGGGAAAAAGATTAAAATCCACATTTAAATATGTTGAGATAAGCAGTGCATGACGTCATCTAGCACAGCTGATAGTGGCGTCATCTAGCACAGCTTATATTGGCGTCATCTGGCACAGCTGATATTGGCGTCATCCAGCACAGCTGATATTGGCGTCATCTAGCACAGCCGATACTGGCGTCATCTAGCACAGCCGATACTGGCGTCATCTAGCACAGCCGATACTGGCGTCATCTAGCACAGCCGATACTGGCGTCATCTAGCACAGCCGCTACTGGCGTCATCTAGCACAGCCGATACTGGCGTCATCTAGCACAGCCGATACTGGCGTCATCTAGCACAGCCGATACTGGCGTCATCTAGCACAGCCGATACTGGCGTCATCTAGCACAGCCGATACTGGCGTCATCTAGCACAGCTGATACTGACGTCATCTAGCACAGCCGATACTGGCGTCCATTGTCTGCGTTGGTGGGGTGGCGGGTATGGTGGGGTGGTGGGGTGGCGGGATGGTGGGGTGGCGGGGTGGGCTATTGATACAATTTGAAACCGGTGAGAGCTTGTTTCATGTCTGTGTCCTAGTGATACACGTTAGAAACATCTGATGGGAGGCATCAGCAAACATTCACATCTCGAGGTAGGTGTAATGGTGTCTAATGGTGCATGCATCTGCCCCGGTAAGAATTATTTAAAATCTATGGCATGTCATCAAGGGGAGGTCAGAAGAATACATGTACTCGAATTGTATCAAACTAATTAGCAGAATACAAGTGTGCAGGAGTCTTTTTAAAATGCCAAGTCATCTAAGTCGTGGACGTGACTTGGATTATAAAAATGTCTGAGGCTTATGTCCATAGCACTGCTATATGCGGCATATATATGTCTATAGTACTGCTACACGAGACAGATGTCCATAGTACTGCTACATGAGATAGATGTCTATAGTACTGCTACATAAGACATTGGTCCATAGTACTGCAACATGAGACAGAAGTCCATAGTACTGCTATACGAGGCAGATGTTCATAGTACTGCTACATGAGATAGATGTCTATAGTACTGCTACATAAGACATTGGTCCATAGTACTGCAACATGAGACAGAAGTCCATAGTACTGCTACACGAGACAGATGTCCATAGTACTGCTACATGAGATAGATGTCTATAGTACTGCTACATAAGACATTGGTCCATAGTACTGCAACATGAGACAGAAGTCCATAGTACTGCTATACGAGGCAGATGTTCATAGTACTGCTACATGAGGCAATTGTCTACAGTACTTCTACATGAGACAGATGTCCATAATACTGCGACATGAGACAGATGTCCATAGTACTGCTAAATGAGGCAGATGTCAATAGTACTGCTACATGAGGCAGATGTCCATATTGCTGCTACATGAGACTGATGTCTATAGTACTGCTACATGAAGCAGATGTCCATAGTACTTCTACATTATATAATTAATTAAAAACTTAAGATATATATGTTTCATGATAAAAAGTGAGCAGATTTTTTAAAATGATTTTGTAGTATGCTATTTAACAGATGTAGTATGCTGTTTAACAGATGTAGTATGTGGCTTAACAGATGCACTATGTTGTTAAACAGATGTACTATGTTGTTTAACAGATGTAGTATGTTGTTTAGCAGATGTAATATCTTGTTTAACAGATGTAGTGTGTTGTTTAACAGATGTACTATGTTGTTTAACAGATTTAGTATGTTTTTAACAGATGTACTATGTTGTTTAACAGATGTACTATGTTGTTTAACAGATGTAATATCTTTTTTAACAAATGTAGCATGTTACTTAACAGAAGTACTGTGTTGTTTAACAGATGTAACATGTTGTTTAACAGGTGTAATATCTTGTTTAACAGATGTATTATGTAGTTTAACAGATGTAGTATGTTGTTTAACAGATGTAGTATGCTGTTAACAGATGTAGTATGTTGTTAAACAGAAGTAGTATGTTATTTAAGAGATGTAGTATGTTGTTAAACAGATGTAGTGTGTTGTTTAACAGATGTACACGATCAATTCCCATATTATTTTAATGTCTAAACTGATGTATGTCTCTGTTTGCTTATGACCTAATAAAATAAAAGAACCACAAGAGAAGGCCACAGAGATAAGTTTTTGTTAACTTGTCCAGCATTGAAGGGCTGGACCAAATGTTCAGGAATGATAACTGGTTATCAGAACTGACAAATTGATATGCACGTTGTCTCCCCTGACAATTTTTTATTTACCCGAAACTTTAAACACAACAGCCAAACGCCCACCCCCACCCCCACCCCCATTTTAAATCTGACCACGTGGCGTAGCTGGGGGTTAGCTGGTCGAATTCGCCGCCACTCATTATAAGTAAAAATTGCTACCAGGGGCGGACAGCCACACCCACACCTTCTTCCTACACCAATGATTGGGCCCCTGGATACACCAGGTAGCTGGTCTGTGACTTGGTGAGTTTCAGTTATTGTTGGGTGAAGCCTCACAGCTAAAATTAGGTCAATTTAAGTACACGTAGCAACCAAATTAGTTGTTAAGATGGCGCTCACGGCGTTGTAGGAAACAAATATCAATTTTTTTTTTATCTGCTTTGCAATTAGTTGTTTCATACAAATATTCAAGCTTGGATACTGAACTTTTTAACTAATCGAGCATAATATGTAAACTTACATAACCAAGTATCTCTAACCAGAGAAATAAGCACCGGGGCACCACAAGGCTGCGTTCTCTCTCCTGTACTGTATACAATATATACAAATGATATTCAAAGCTCAAGCGACACCGTTCCAATCTTAAAATTTGCTGATAATACCACCATTGTTGGTTTAATATCTGAAGGAGAAGGCATATACCGCAACTTAGTTACGAGCTTTATCAATTGGTGCCATGAAAATTTTCTCCAGCTGAATGTCTCAAAAACTAAAGAAATGGTTGTTGATTTCAGGAAGGGGAAACACCAGATTACAGATCTCAACATAAAAAATCAAAATGTGGAGAAAGTGGAGGCATGTAAGTACTTAGGTATCACCATTAATAATAAGCTAACATGGCATGAGCACCGCCAAATTCAAACAAAGACTATTCTACCTTAAAAAACTGTACAATTTTGGCGTAAACAAACAAGTCGTTAACTTATTTCTGCAGTGCAACTATTGGAAGCCTGCTTAATTTCAGGATTACCTGCTGGTGTGGGAATTCAACGTCTGATATTAAACACCGCATAAACCGACTAATCAAGAAAGCTAGGGACATAACACAAACTAAACACCCTTCACTTGAAGAACTATTTGAAGAAAGATGTTTTTGCAAAACTAAACACATTTTGGATGATACTTTCCACCCTCTTCATCACAGATACTTAGGATCAGGCCTTTCGGGACGAATTCTTTCCATCAGGGCGAGGACTGACAGATATAAAAATTATTTTGTTCCCCAATTTGTACGAATTTACCGGCGTGCTTCCTCTGAAGTCACACATCTGAATGAGAACTAATAAGTCCCCGATTTTGCTAAGAGAACTCACTGAATGGCTGTTTGAAATAATTTATTATAAATGTCTTGTGTTCAAATTGTTTTATTTTTGTGCTGAAAATG